ATTGTCTTGACTTGCTATCAAGCTTGGATCTCTCATCCTTTGAAATGTGAACAAAAACTCGACAACCAAACACTCTCAAGTGCTCATAAGACACATCTTTACCAGTCCAAACTCTTTCAGGAACATCACCATTCAAAGGATAGGAATGAGACAAATTGATCACGTCAACCGCTATCCCCATTGCCTCACCCCAAAAGGATCTTGGCAATTTAACATGTGAAAGCAGACACCTTATTCTTTCCACAATGGTGCGGTTTATCCTCTTAGCAACGCTATTTTGTTGAGCAGTCTTTTTAACTATCTTTTGATGCCGAATACCTTGGCTGCGACAATACTCATCAAATGGCCCAATGTATTCATTACCATTGTCTGATCAGATGCATTTCAATTTTTGCTTTGTTTCTCTTTCAACCATGGCCGGAAAATGCTTAAATACATCTAGAACTTGATCTTTAGTTTTTAGTATAAAAGTCCAAACTTTTCTTGAATAATCATCAATGAAAGTAACAAAAAAAAGTGCACCACTATATGTTCTAACTTTTAAAGGATCACAAACATTCGAATAAATCAATTCCAAAGCATTTTCTTTTCTAGAAGCAACATTTTTATGAAAAGAAACTGAGGGTGTGTTTGGTTTGTGTTTGTAGAGTAGTTTTTGAGATAAAAAATACGAAAACTTGTTTGATTTGTCTTTTTTCAGAAATGAATTTGAGAAATTATTTTGGGGAGAGAGTTTTTAAAAAAGTAATTGATTTGATGTGTACGAGAGAGAGAATGATTTTGGAAAGTAGGTAACCAAACAAAATTTTGAGATTTTTTTTAGAAAAAATTGTTTGGTTTGATGACTCTTGAAAATTTGTTTGTAGAGAATTTTTCCCAAAAATTTTTCGGAAAAACAAACCAATTAAGGCCTCTATGTTTTTTACCCACTAAACAATGAACACAAATTTAAGATATGTACCTTTCAAACCGGGTAGAAGTTCTTTATTGAACAAAACTTTTTCACTCATGTGCCCAAGCCGTTTGTGCCACAATTCGGTAGAAGTATCATCTTCAAGTGCATTGGCAACACCTTTACAAAATTTTCCTTACATCAAATAAAGTGTATGAGTCTTCTTGCACTTAGCCATTACCAAAAAACCCTTTGTGAGCTTCTATATTCCATCACTAAATTTGTTATTGAAGCCTTCATTATCTAGCTTCTCGATAGAGATCAAATTGAAGCGAATGTTGGGAACATGCCTCACATCTTGAAGTAGCAACTTGCAATCTAAATTTGTTTTCAAGCAAACATCACTCATGCCAACAATCTTGGACAAGCCTTCATTACCTATTCGAACACACCCATAATCTCCTTTGGTGTACGTACTGAAGAAATCAACCCGAGAAGTCACATGAAAAGAAGTACCGAAATCAATCACCTAATTGCTTTTTTGGCCCACAAAATTGATACAATCCTCTTCATGAATAACCATGAGATTATCGATAGTAACGGCCGTTGTGTCTTCTTGCTTCTTATCCACACTTTTGTCACGCATTTTCTCTTTGTTCTTGAGCTTTCGGCATTCTCGCTTCATGTGCCCTTTCTCATGGCAATAATAACACTCAATGTTTTTCTTTGAAAAAGAACTATCTTTTGATTTATTACGGCTTTGATCACGATCATGAAGAGTCTTACTCATCCCCCTTGTTTTGCTTCGGCTTCTCATAACAAATGCTTCCGAATGAGAGAAACCCGCTGATTTTCTTCTAGTTTATTCATTCAACAAGTTACTAGTGACTTGGCTCGTTGTGACAACTCCATCGGGCACTGAATTACCAACTGTCACAACTAAAGTCTGCCAACTTTCAGGTAAAGAACTAAGTAGCATCAAAGCCTACAACTCATCATCAAAATTAATTTTCATAGAAGCAAATTGGTCAACAATACTCTTTATTTCATTCAAATGTTCCGGAATGGGGCTGCCATATTTATATTTTAAATTAACCAACTTAGGAAACTGAAAAGCTTTATTGGTGGTTGATTTTCTGTCATAAAGGCCTTCTAATCATAAATCATGTGCCGAAATTTCAGTAGCAACATGATGAAGCACATTGTCATCAATCGATTGACGGATAACACTAACGGCTTTTCGATTAAACCTCTTCCATTCATCATCTTTCATATCATCAGGTTTGCCACTATCACCCTTAATAGGCCTATACAAATCTTTACAAAATAATAGGTCCTCCATTTTAGTTTTTCAAGTTGCCCAACTGCTTCCATTGAAGCTAGACATACGACCCACATTTCCCTCCATTGATTTATATAAATAAATAAATATAAAAAAACCGTAAGTTCTGATACCAGTTATTAGAAAAAAAAAATAGATGATTTTTTACAAGTAAATCAATTAATGGAAATAAAAACTAATGCGAAAAAATTAAATCAACAGCACCACAAGAATTTTTTACGTGGTTCCCTCAATGTGAGGTACGTCCACGGGACACGATTACGTAATTCCTTCAAAAGTTTTCAAACGATTACAAACGAGACACGAATGGTCTCACAAATTACCCTTAGGTGAATTCCAAATAATCATAAATAAATAAGAGAAAAGATCTCACCAAATAGATGAACAAAAAATTTTCAAAATAAAATTGTAAAAGATCCAAAATAATAACTTAAATTAACCGAACATGCACACTTACAATACTTTAACCAAGCCACCGAACTGATTTATCAATTGAATTTGTATGGTAACCGTAGCACGAAACCTGAAGTACTAAATAAATGAAATCACCCAACAAACCGTCTCTCTCCGAAAATATGGAAGATTGATGTTGGCTACCGCTCCTCACTACTTCGAAAAAAAAAACATATATATATATGATTGAATCTTGGGCCTTTTTTCAAAACCCTAATTATACTAAACTGATTATAAAAAACCCATTGGACTTTCAAAAGTTAGATATAATATATAAAATATATTATACCCAAACCAAAACAAACCAAATTAATTTTTTTTTTAACAAATCAATTGGGTCTCATACTCTACTAAGAAGATATACCCCAACACTAAGTTGATTTAAGAAGTAAAAAAACAATTAAAAAAGTTCACTAAAAATAAAAATATATACAAACTCAAAACTCAAAATACTGTTTTTAAAAACTACATACATTTTGTGTTTCAAAATTTTGAATAAATTATATTTGGAAAAGAATGAATAAAAACAGTATATTACACAAGTTTTTTGTTTTTCAATTATTTTTAAAAAGAATAAAATAAAATAAAAAATGGAAAACGTTATCAAAGAAGGCCTAATGGGCCAAATTGTTATTTATTTATTTATAGGGTAAATTGCAAACATATTTTTTGAGATTTATTTAAATTATAAATTAATTTTTGTAATTTTATAAATTACATTATGCCTCTAATGTTTTTAATTTCATAGCAAATAGGTTCTTTTATTAATAAATCATTAAGCTAATTAATAGTTTTTAATAATGTTAAAATTTTATTTCAGTTAATCACTCAGATAATTTTATTATTGTAGAGGTGAACAGTTATAAATTTTATTAAATAAAAAATTATAACAGGGAAGTATTTGTAATTTTTCAAACTACATAGGGTAATTCGTATTTTAAGCAAATCTCATGGGTATATTTGTAATTTATCCTTATTTATAATATGGTGGTGCTATATGTATAAATTAATGCACTAACTAGTGTATTAACACTAGTTATGAAATTATTATTGACCCCACTCATTAATCACATTACAAATACTAAAAACTTTTTAAATTATGTCACATCATTAATTGGTACACTAGTTAGTACACTAATTGGTGCATATAACATTATTCTTTATAATATATATATATATATATATATAGAAATGATAGAGATCCCTTTTTCCTTGACCCTCACCACCTCCAATGTATTGGGATTGACTAACTTTTTGCTTTTTTTATTTGTTTTTTTTTCCTCCTATCACACACTGACATGTGTTTGCTACCCCCAATGTATTGGGATTGGCTAACTTTTTGTTTTTTATTTTTATTTTTTTCCTTCTATCACTCACTGACATGTGTTTGTGGGGGTCAAGGATAAATGGGGTCTCAACCTTTTGGGTGCTTCTATGTACACATCACCTTTCATCTTAAGGCACACAATTAATTATTTTTTTATTACAATTTTAATTTAAAATAAAATGATCACAAAAGACAAATGGTTATAATACACCATTTGTATAATTATCATTTTCGTGTACTTGTTGAGGGTGTAAACCGTTTGTATTAGTTCGGTTATTCAGAGTCGAATAGTATATTTATGTTCGACTACCCACAACTATACAACTTGGTTTTGTTCGATCTATTATTGTCGAGCTTAGTTCATTTTTTCGATTTGTATGTGTCGAACAAAAACTATATGTTCGGATATCAAGTCTAATTTCTTTTCCTTTTTTTTCCAGAATTGTGAGGATCTCTTATTATACTTTCAAATCGATTATTTCTTTCGACTTGTATTCAACTCGGTGAAGAGATCCTAAGCGACTTCACCAGTGAAAATACTTTCAACTCGTATTCACAAATATTCGAACATAAGTGAATACTTTCAACTCCTAATATCTTCACCGATTTAAATAGAGAATGGAAGGGGAGATGGAAATATCATGGGTGAGTGGGGTGAGTAAGTGAGGATAAAGATGAAAGATTGTAAGAATAAGATGTGTGAATAAAGATAAAAATGAAAATTTATAATGTGTATTAAGTAAAATATTTATTTATTAAAATATTATAGGGTTGCCTTAAATAATAATTTGCCTTGAGTTAAAATGTGGGCGGCAAATGGTGGCCCCTCAACCTTTCTCCATATTTTTTTTTAAGGGATTTGAGAAATGTCGGAAGATATTTCCGAAAGCTGACATGGCTATCGTTGATTGGCTGTAAGATCTCCCCAGACGTGGCTCCACTTGACACAAGCCAAATCCTCACGACACGGCCTTTATGGCCCCACTCCGGTGCGTTAACCGTCCCATTAACCGGTCAGTAAAAACACCCCTCTCTCTCTCTTTCTCGCTCTCATCTCTCCGATCTGTATGCGCTCGAGCAGTAGAGAGAAAGAGACCCAATCTGTTTCTCTCTCCTTCTCCTCTTCCTCAGGTACCTCAACTCTCTCTCTCTCTCTGAATTCAACATTTGATTGTCAATCTGTGTTGTATTCTTGATTATGGGTATACTTCAATTCCTACCAATTTAGGGTTCATCTACTCGATTTGAATTTTGATTTCAGGAACTATATATATGTAACTATTTCTGTACTTTGTTTTATTCAGATTCTCGGTATCTTATAAAGATTTTTATAATTATTGTGATTGGGTAATCAAAACTGTATAAGATTTAAATTATTTAATTTTTTTTTTTTGCCAGTGAACCTGTTTTGATTTGGTACTTGTATAATTGGCAGATTATATAGTTCTGTGCTATATATTGGCAGCCGAGGTCGCAATTGAGCAGTTAAAATCTTGCAGCACAAGTGTCAGTTGCGATGAAGAATAGTGAGCGTGTTGCTAATGTTGCTCTAGCTGGTGTGTTGCTACTTCATCCCATTTTTGTTGTTACAAATTTTAGTTGTGATTATTAGTTTCTTATTTTCTCGATTTGTTTGATAACTGTTATGGGTTTGGAAGTTTTGATAGAGAAAGATGAAAATTTGATAGCACCAAGTGTTCAAATAACACTGGCCCAAAACTCACCATAAATAAAAATGAAGAACAATTTGATCTAAAGAAGAATGGGGGAAATTTTATTTACCAATAAGAACAAGTGAACATTAGCACTGGAAATCACACTTGCACTAGTTGGACTAATTGGTTAACACCACAAAACATAAGGGAATATGGGTTGTTTTTGGATTGATTGGCAACCCTGTAAATAAGTTGTTTATTAGCTTATTTAGGTAACATCATCTCTCTACTTTTTTATCCGTCTTTTCATAATAAGCAAAAAAAGCTAGTTTATAAGCCCTACCCAAAACAACCCTATGAAAAAGTGCAAGCTTCTACATATTTATAACGGGGGTGAGTATATTTTACACACTCCATATTTTATTTTATTTTTTTATTACAATCTTATCATTGTCAGAAGTTGCCAAAAAAGATTCAGACTCTAAAAAAATCTAAACTTAAATTTTATTTACAAGGAGTGGGTGCGGGTTGGCTATTCAACAGCTTCTCTCTCTGGGTGTGTTTTTGTGTTGCCCTTTTCTTCTTGAATATCCTAACTCCCTAGTAATTTCGAGTTTATATATAACAAGAGATTAGCACATAGTGCTCCAGAAAACCAGTGGTGTACTAACATAATCCTAAGTATTTCTAATGCCAAGAGGCCAGATTAGTTGTCATCTTTCTTGCAATAGATATGCCACCTAGTAGCACTGAAATGCTCTTCTTATTCTATGCGAATCAAGTGCAGCTGATGGAAATTGGAAATTTGGAATTCTTTAGTTCCTGATTTGAGGTTTAGTGCAGTGTTAAGTGTTACATTACTTATGAAAGACTTACATTTTTAGGAAATGTGACTCAAGTATATTGTATGCCAATATCTCATGAAACTTCTATAATTATGAGGTAGTACCTTTATTTTCTCACACTTACGGAGTTATGTGTATTATTATTGGCTGCAGGTTTATCTTTGGCACCACTGGTTTTGAATGTAAATCCAAATTTAAATGTCATTTTGACTGCTTGCCTCACAGTTTATGTGGGTTGCTACCGTTCGGTCAAGCCAACTCCACCTTCAGTAAGTACAGCATGCAATCTATATATTGCACCCTGTCTTCACTTCAACATTTTGGTTTCTTTCAATATGGATTACCATTTCTCAAAATGTGACATTTTTAATGTTGCAGGAGACAATGTCTAATGAACATGCCATGCGCTTCCCTTTGGTTGGGAGTGCAATGCTGTTATCACTATTCTTACTCTTCAAGTTTTTGTCAAAAGACTTGGTTAATGCTGTTCTGACATGCTACTTCTTTGTACTCGGGATCGTCGCTCTTTCGTATGTGCTTTCCGTATGGGTCATTCTACTATGCTTAATATTTATTGCAAGTTATCGCATTACTGTGATTGTATGCATCGTTGATTCACTTCTTCTATCCATTTTTTTCCTCACTTTTTACAGGGCAACACTTTTACCTACAATGAGGCGTTTTTTGCCGAAGCATTGGAATGAGGACCTAATAATCTGGCGTTTCCCATATTTCCGTTGTATGTGGTGCCCTCATTCTGCTTTCCTTTTTGAATGTTTGTTGTGAATGCTCATTCTACACCTTTCAAGAATCAAGACACTATTATGTTTGATCATGTGCAGTGTTGTTTTCAACTTCAGTAACACAGTCCCACATTAATACTTTTCATTTAAGATGATATTTTTTCCCCTTATTGCAAAGGCTGCCTTGTCACTTGACAGTGGTATTCTGCAATGAGGTGGTATAGAAGTTTATAACAGTTTCCTGTTTTGGAGACCATAAATCTTGGTCATGGCTGGACTATTGTCTAGGCTTGCAACATGGGCATGTGTTAAAATGAGTTTGGAACATACTATTAATATGCAATAGTTCTTTTATTTTTTGAAAGAAATAGAGTGCTCCTTGAAGCAAGTTATCATGGTAGGTGAAAGGTGGATATTGAAAGGAGAAAATGTGCTCCTATTATCTAGGACACCCCCACCCGCAAATAAAAGAAAACATAAAACAAGAGACAGAAAGGGAAATGTCCAATTTAGTTCAAAGGGAAAAATGGTTGCTCTTTTCTGATTTACAAACATGAAAAGATTGCCATTTTTTTGATAACTTACTAGGGTTTGCAGTGGAAGGAGTAAGAGGATGTGATGATTCAAATGAAATTTGAAATTACCATTTGGTTTTGCTGTCTGTACTGCTGTTACAGTTAGCATATTGGTTAAGATGACATACTTATATAATCTTGTCATTGAGTGGCAATTTTTGGTGATGCTTTTACCATGCAAGTGGACGCACTTGTACATGTCTTATAGTCAAATTTGAAAGGTTCTGCTCTCTGCCCCAATCTTTTCATAGTTTAGTTTTATATTCAACTGTTCCCTACAATCCTCCTCCTGCCTGGTAGGGTTGGAGGGGTGTTCAAGAAAAGAAGATAACCAAACATGGTTCACAATGTCAAGTTGGTTGTTGCTGATTCGGTGAAACTGAATTGCATAGTTTGTTTTTAATAATATTAACTCTCTAATGTCTTCTATCAACTTGTACAATCATCCTTTTTTTGTGTTCTGAATCTCTATATGCTTCTGTTATGTTAAGATATTATACGCACCTGTTGATAATTTTCTGGAAGGTTTGGTGGTATTCTGCCTCATGCTGTTACCAAATTGATGTAGACTGTAGTTCTCAATTCTGGTTGTTGATCTTATCTGTATTGCTTGCTTCATGAGTTTTGAGCAGTAAGTTGGTTGAGTTGAGATGAGTTATGGCTTTTCTAGTAAAATATGTGCCTCAACATCTGAATGAATGCAATCGCTTAGTTTTCTGCTGTTCTTGTATTCAATATGATGCAGTTGACATGTTGACATTATTGTGCTTTTAATATGCAGAATATATATATTTTTTTTACACATTTCTTTCACAGCTTTGGAGGTTGAGTTCACAAGGTCTCAGATCATCGCAGCAATTCCTGGAACCTTTTTCTGTGCATGGTATGCTTCACAGAAGCATTGGCTGGCTAACAATATATTGGGCCTTGCATTTTGCATTCAGGTTAGTTAGCCTGATTCTTAAAATAATGCATCTCTTATAGTATCTCAGTTACAGGCATTCTCTATCTTCATTCAAGTTTTTGATTGCTTGAGGAACTCCTTTACTCATTTTTCAGAAGTTTTGTGAAACTCCACCTTGATCTGCTGCTGTAATGTTTTTGTGTGTTTTTACCAGTAAAGTCACAACTTATTAAACAAAAACAATCAAAATTGAATTTGTTAAAAAGAAAAAAAGAAGAGATGAATAATAATAATAAATCAACATATTGTACGAGTTGTGACTGCTTGCAATGAGAAAAGTGCAATGATTATTGCACATTTAAGTGTCCTATGGTTTGATTAATAAATGACTGAAAAAAACTGTCTTACCACTGGGAATGATCTTTTTCATTTTTTATCTCATGGCAAATGTTTGAATAAGGGTGTGGGAATTTTACACTGGAGCATCTATAGAAAATTAAAGATATGATGAATATTATTATAATTCCTTGTAATCTAGAAGCCACTTATTTTCATTTTTGATGATGTCTTGGTCAGAATTTTTAATTTTCTCTTTCTTTTTCCATCTCTTTTTCTGATTTGTGGATGCTATTTCATTGAGAGTTTATTGGTTTGCTTTATTTTTACTTTTTAAATGTGCAGGGAATTGAAATGCTTTCACTTGGGTCATTTAAAACTGGTGCCATCCTTTTGGTAAGAAATAGATCTACAGATTAGTTCATTTATTTTATTTTTGGAAAAAAATCATTTTACCCCTTGTGGTATGGCCTGGAGCACTTCACCCTCTCACGTTTAAAAATATCCGATGACCTCTTATGTGGTTTTGATCATTTTGTCCTATCTACGGCTACTAATGATTTACCTATGGCCAATTAGTCAAGGCATTGCTCCAAGACATAACATAACCAATGCTAATTGCAGCAATGAACAAGGCATAACATAACCCATACCCAGAGATGCACTAGCCTAGGTGCTAAATGGCTTAATATTAAAAATACTAAAATAGCCAAACACTAAAATTAATTACACTTGTTATTGCCATATTCTTTTTTTCTAGATAAGCCTTGAAAGATTTGGCCTTGTGAAGACTCTAATTGAGCACAAATTTGTCCTGCATCAGAGGGTTTATTTATTTTTTGCTTTTAAATTAATTTTTTAGCCTCTTGTTGTAGTTTTATATATTCTATTATTTTTTCAATCAGTTGTGAATAGTATCTGAAACATTTTTATCATATTATAATGCATCGCTAGTACAGAACAGACGGGGGGACAATTGCAAATAAATACTATCCTACTAGCTATGTTAATTTATGTAGGACGGTATCAAAAGGATTATGTTATTATATAAGTTCAGGGACTGGATCTTACTAACAAGCGTGCCAACCTTGGTTGTGCAGTAAATATATTTAGATTTTGTAGGGTGGTTTGGTGCTAATTTGATTCTCTCGCAGTTCCCCTTTCGTTGGTGATAATTTATGCACTCAGTGGTTTTATTTTATCATTTGTCTGATTCGTTTTCTGCTAAAAAAAAAAAAACACACTGCAGGCTGGACTTTTTGTATATGACATTTTCTGGGTTTTCTTTACCCCTGTGATGGTTAGTGTTGCAAAATCATTTGATGCTCCTATAAAGGTCAGTGTGTCTTGTTAATTGAAGCAACTTGTATTTTAAACTATTTTTGCAATCACTTTGTTGTTCTGTAATATTCATTGATATGGCTTTAATTCTCTGCAGCTTTTGTTCCCAACATCATATCCTAAACGTCCCTTTTCGATGCTTGGACTTGGAGACATAGTAATTCCAGGTGTGATGCTCAAGTTGCATATAAAAAAATATATTTTTTCTGATGCATACATACATACATACATACATACATATGTTTGTGTGTATAGTTTGAATAACATTTTCGTAACGAAGGATGCATCCATTTATTTGTCTTCATCTCTTTAAACATAGTGAGATCAGTTTTTTTCAAAAGCTCTGTATGATTCTTGCTTTGGAGTTCACGCATTTTGTCATTTTTCTTTAAAGTTTTCCTCAAAGGTTCACATTATTTTTGTGGGTGAATGAAGTAAATGCAATTATGATTTGGATTATGAGCATTCGTAAAAAGCTCTCCGTAAAAATATTGTAAGTTCAAGATATTAAATGATGAAATGGTTTTATTTGGGGGCTTTCCTGTTTCTTATTACTTTGCGGATACTGTTACAGGCAGGTAATATTGAGTGATTAGTACATAACTTGCTAGTGGTTCTATTATTTAATCTGATATATTATGTGTTCTAGTAATACTTACAGTGTGTTTTTTATGTTTTCCACACCTCTCTCCTTTAGGCATTTTTGTAGCATTGGCATTGCGTTTCGATGTGTCCAGGGGGAAAGAGAGCCAGTATTTCAAGAGTGCTTTTCTGGGTTACACAGTTGGTTTGGTCCTTACAATTATTGTCATGAATTGGTTTCAAGCCGCACAGGTGTGTATTGCTTAAATCTTTTTGATGCAACTTTCTATTTCAATAAACAAAAGAATGCAAGTATGGGACTTGTCAAAGAAAAAAAAAAAAAAAAAAAACACATTTTGGGGAGTTGCCCAAGCCATGGAAGGTTTAACTTTTTCTGTTCGTCAGCGAGATCTTTGCTATCCTGTTTCTTTATCTATCTTTAACTGTTTTTCCATCTTATTATATTCTTTCATTTCACTTTCAGCCTGCACTACTATACATAGTACCAGCTGTTATTGGATTTTTGGCCGTTCATTGCATATGGAATGGTGATGTCAAACAGGTTTGTCCATAACCTTTTTATGATTGTTGTTATGTTGTCTTAGTTGTTATTCACTGTTGGACTGAAATTCTGCTTTTTGAATGGCTAAATCAACCTCCACATTGGCATTGTAACTGAAGTATTAATAGTTTGAAATTACCAGTATAGCTGTTTTAGCTGTTTGTAAGGTGTTCCCCATGGCCTCAATCACCACGCTCTTTCCTGTTTGGTGCAACAGAACAAATTCAATTCCAAGCCCAGAAATATATGATACCAATTTTTAGATTTGTCAATTGAGCCTTCAATGTGAAACAGGCATTAGAATTCTTGGGTTAGTTGTTACTTCCTTAAAGAGTGCTGCTAATAGCCCCCACCATATTTCTTTGATCACCACCTACAAATTTTGAAATTTCAAATTTTTTTTTCAATTGAACACCCCACTTACTACCAAAAATTCTCACCACCCTTTCAAACCCTAAACCCACCAGCAGCAGCTCTGGCCACCCTTCAGATTACCTTGTCATTTGCAAAGACAAATGTATTGAAAAAATAAAAACATAGGAGCTGAAGGTTAACTTAATTTGTATTGATGCATTTCAAACAAAACATAGTATTTAGACTAGTATAAATATAAAAACATTTTGACACTGTATGTGCTTCTACGATAAATGCAGAATTGCTGATATGATTGTGTGCTTGATACTAGGCTGAATTCTTTGTTGACATCTGTCTATCATTTGTAGTTGTTGGAGTTTGATGAGTCCAAGACTACTGCATCTGAAGACGATGATTCCAAATCGAGCAAGAAAGTGGAGTGAGGCGAAAACCCTCACACAGAAAAACCATTGCGACTTGGTTAAGAAATACGGTTATTTTCTGTTGGTGACTTAAAAAGGCCTTGAAGCTCGGTCATTTTTCTAATTTTAGCAACTGCACACCAATGCTGTTGTAACAGAGTTTTGAATTAAGAATTAATAACATATTAGTCTTTAATATCAAGATGACAAATTTTAGTTTTCATATATGTGTCTCTTGTATTTGATCATATTCATATTCGTGTTGTTATTGCAAATTTTGACACTCTAGTGAATATTATTTGTCAGCCAACTTATGGTTTGGCGACCTTGATCAACATTATGATAATTGTTTTGCAAGGACGGGCTGAAATGTGATGTATTAATGATGTGAACTTGTAGCATTGTTATGTTGGAAGATGTGTATATTTGGCCAACTTTGTCGCAGCCAAATTCGCTCATTGGAGGAGAGGAACCATTGGGTTTTTTTTTCCGCCAAATTTTCTGCAGAATATGTGGGTAGTTGATCTTCGATCATCGTGGCTCCCATTGTTGATGGGTAGTTGATCTTCGATTATCCAATAAGCTCAGCAATGTGGTCATGTGGTGTCATCCAAATTCACCAACTGTCCTTGTTGACAATCCTGAATGATGCCACCAGTTACTTCAATGTTTTTTTTTTCAATCACATGTTGAATACTTACTGTCTCCTATATATCTTCCCAAATATAAATTTTTAAAAATTTCTTAGGAATTCTATCAAAATTATTCCTAATCTCATATCCACTCAACCATACCCGACTACCACCGACACTGTCCTCTCATTTGGTTGCCACCAAACCCTCCCCTTAACCCTTCCACTCCTCCTTTACTATCCTCAATTCCCTTCCCATCCCCACCAATTCCCGCCACCCACTCCTTTTACCTCGACTTTCTACGCTTATTCTCAACTTCTTTTTTTCTTATTCGATGTTTAAAAGAGCATTATTCATTTTAAACGATTGATTAGCATAATAAAACATTTATTATGTGATAAAATATTAAAAAGATGATGCACAATTTTTAAAAAAGATGATGCCTTATAATGTGATAAAAACATCAAAAAAAATGATATATGTTTTTATAAACCTAGTAGTTGTAATTAACCCAACATAATATTTTATTTGGTTAGGTTTTCAAATTTTATTTTTTATTCCAACCAAACCAAACCAAACCAAACCAAGTCTTAAGTCTCATTAAATAAGGTCAACTGTATGAATCCTTTTTCTCTACTCTACTCTATCCAAGGCATTTCGTTAGTCAAATTAAAGAAAATTCATATCTTTATTTAATATACTAGTCCACATCAATCTAGGTCTATTCCTTCCCCTAACACTACCATCTATCGTCACTATATCGCATCTATTTACTATTACCTCTGTTGGTCTCCATTGAATATGACCAAACTATCTCAATCTATTCTCTCTCAACTTATTTTCTATCGATACTGCTTCTATCCATTCTCGAATATACTCATTCCTAATTCTGTTTTTTCTAATCTTGCCACACATCTACCTTAACATCCTTATCTCAGTAACATTCATCTTCTCTACATGTTGTTGTCCCACATTTTGTCACTGTCACAACCCAACCCTCGCCCCAATGGATTAGAGAAGTAACCGGACAGTAATCCGGGATTACCAAAAGCCTGCTTAACAGTAATTCAGTAATAGGGGCTGGCAGAAGCCTTTGAATAATAAAATATGAAGTCCAATGAACTGTGAAAACTTCTATGAACAAAAACAAGCCTTTATGTGTATACATATACACATGAGTCCAATCATTATACTTATATATACATAAGTCAATGTCATGCTTAAGTACAAAAACATAACATAATTACGAGATTAAACCCAATAACAAAACCAGTCTTAAACCAAAACATTCATACACTTGATCAAAATTCAAAATGGTGTATTCAAAACCACTCGTGAAGTCTTAAAGCTTGACCCGTTTGGAACCTCACAGTGAGGCACGGGAGTTGGTTTGACAAAAAACTGAGTTCAGGTCGACGCCACTAAGTCCGGTCTTCCACTTGATCACCTATATACATTTATAAACGGTGAGTTAGAACCCAATGAATAACAACTCTGTAAAGGGGTTATGAATGATGTCCTTACAATATTTAAATCAGTCAATTATCATCAGTGTATCAGTTTCTCATTTCAAAATCATACTGCAATCACAGCAGTTATGCATGGTACATTCATTAGCAGAACAGTACAGTAGGTTTTAAAAAACTGAACAGTCATAAATGATGGCCATCAATACAGTAAACAGTAGTTCCACGAATGGGAACTAATAAAGATCTCTATAACAATAGCAGTAACAGTAGCAGATGCTATGAATGCCACGAGTACATTTTACAAATATGACAATCATTCATTTAGTTAAAAACATCATTTCAAAAGCAGAACATTCTATAATTCAAAAAATACTTATAGTTTGAACATAACTTTATAAGGTTGTTACTCACAATTGGCTCCTTAAATCACTTAATCACAATACGACATCTGACTTATATAAACATATTCAAGCACAACATCTCAATACAAGTTCAATTCATTCGTTGCTTGTTCGTTCGGTTGTTTCTATTTGTTCTTTAATTTCTTTTGTGTTCAGGATATGCATATGAATTTGAAATATACTTGAAAACCATGCAAATGGAGATCCGAAAATCAGAAAAACGAAGAGAAAACGAAACTGGGACTAGCCTGAAAACTGCACGTGCAGAACCACCACCGCACATGCAATAAAAACAGTGTGCAAGCCTCATTTTGTCCTGTTTCTCATAGCCACACGTGTGGTTCTGGGTAAAATCCTGCTCGAAAATTTGCTTTAATTTGGAGCTTAGTACTTTGCAATCTCAACTTCAATTTTATGCATTTTAAGACTCAAAACTCTTCAAAAACATCTTGAATATAACATTCTCACTTTGAACAACAATCATAACTTCAAATTTCAAACTCTTGAAGTGAAATGTATATTCATAAAACAAGCAAGTTTTGAGTTCCAATCTTCAAAATTTATGGAGTTTCCTCCTCAATTTTTATGAATCATGCAAGAAGGTAAATGTATGAAGAAGGTTTCCATGAAAATATGCCATTCATGTGAAGATTATGAGTTCATTTCTTGAATTCTTGTCTTAGATGGTCATGTAGGTTCATTATAGTTTCATTCACTATAAACTTCTTCAATTATACATGATTTCATCCTAATTCAACTCAAAATCTAGAGGATTATGAGTATAACATCTCAATTCTTGAATTTAGAGGGGAAATCTTACCTTTATTGGTTGGATTGTTAAAGTTTTTGCTTAATCTCCTTTATTCCTCTTCTTTCCCTTTATTTTCTTTTTCTTGAACTCTTTCCTTCTCTCTCTCTAACTCTCTCAAGGTGTATGTAACTCTGTGTCTCCAATAAATTCCACTAAGCTTCATTTTCCTACTTAATTTGTTGAATAGGTTTAGGTAACTTAATCACCCACTAATTATGTTTAAGTCTTGATTAATCATAAGGTTAAGTTAAATTATATCAAACTCGCTTAAACTAAATCAATTCCCATCATAATTTAATCTAAACTAGATTAAATTTAATTGTACCAATGTGGATTAGGCTCTAATTACCTATCCAATTATTTAATTTTATCTAGTATAAATTACTGACTCAGACAGGTTCAATTCATATTCTAACCATATGTGTTCACAATAACACAATTCATATCACACATGGCACATATGAACACATAAACACATAATCAATGTAAATCATATGATTAACTTAATTAATCAAGGAGGTGGTCGTCACAAATACATATAACATCGCTGGTTTAATAACTGCTCTATAGAACTTCTCTTTTAATTTAACTAGCAGCCGGGCACACGCAATGCGTGTGCAAATTTGTTTGGAATTGTAACGTGAAATTCACATTAAATTTTCTTTTATATATACATATAAATCACATGTATCATTATGTGTAATGTAACATTTGATATTAAGATATTTAATAAATAAAATATATGTATGTTAAAATTTGTTCAATTTTTTTTTAAAAAAATATAATATTTACTATTCGTAACTAAAAAAAACCCTACAACAAAAATTCATATAAAATCTCAATTTGGTAAGATAAGACTGAAGATCTTACAAATCTTGCAAAGTAAGTAAAATTTATATATATATATATATATATATATACACTAGTGGGTGGCACACACGATGTGTGTGCAATTTAAATAAGTAGGAATAAAAAAACATAATAATGAAATTAATATTATAATGTGTACTTAGCTTAAGTGGTATGAGTCCTTGTACTTAAAGCCATGGTCATGGGTTCAAGCCTTGCCCATCTCTTTGTTTAACTTTTTTTTAAAAAATAAAAAATACTGCCACATGGCATGAGGAGAGTAAAGCTTCAGGACACCATAAAAGGTGTTCACTTTATAATAGTACTAGCAGCCGGGCACACGCAATGCGTGTGCAAATTTGTTTGGAATTATAACGTGAAATTCACATTAAATTTTCTTTTATATATACATATAAATCACATGTATCACTATGTGTAATGTAACATTTGATATTAAGATATTTGATAAATAAAATATATGTATGTTAAAATTTGTTAATTTTTTTTTAAAAAAATATAATATTTACTAATCGTAACTAAAAAAAAACCCTACAACAAAAATTCATATAAAATCTCAATTTGGTAAGATAAGACTGAAGATCTTACAAATCTTGCAAAAAATATATAAGATACATGTAAAAATTAATTTACATACAATGTACATTGATTAAATTAGAATTTTACGTTGTTAAAATGAGCCACAATTGTACACATGCGTACTTTGACTAATAGAGTATAATAATAATTTTGACTTTCTAATTGGCGTATTATATATAAAGGCACAAAATGTAAATATTATTAAAGTTTTTTATAAATGAAACTAAAAAATTTAAAAATTACATTTTGACATAGATTAACATAGTTCAAATCAAATGGAAAAAAAATCTCAAACTTTTTAAGTCTAAGTCTAAACAATTACACACATTTTATGCTTCACAATTTTTTAAATATATATATATATATATAAAAATGAATACAAACTTACAAATGAATATAAACTTACAATATAAGTTTTTTCAGAAGGAACTTGATATAACATGATGGATCTTTTTATTTTCTATGAAAAGTATAATTAACACATTTTATGCTTCACAGTTTTTTAAATATATATATAAAAGAATGAATATAAACTTACAATATTTTTTTTTTCAGAAGGAACTTGATATAACATGATGGATCTTTTTATTTTCTATGAAAAGTATAATTAACAGTAATACACCAAAAAATACATATTTAAGACGCTCAAAACACTTACAATTATGTAAAATTTAAGAATACTGAAGAACACTACATTTTTTACACACACATTCTTTACACTACATTTTTTTTACACTACATTGTTTTAATACACCCACAATTACACATGCGTATTTTTTGCAATTGAGACAAAATAAAACACAAAAACAAAAGCATCAAGATTTAAAAGAGAACATTGAACATCAAATTCTGAAGTGTCGATAAGCATTTTGCTTACGGTCAAGAATAATGAAAACATGATAGAACATACAAAGAAGAATTCAATTACCAACTTTTTTCCTTAATGAGAACAGTCATTTGAAACCTTGTTTAAGTAATCAATTGGAGCACAAACAATATCAAAATAAAAAAAATTATTTCAAACATTAAGACCAATCCGAACATGAAAAAGGGATAATTAAAAGGCCTAAGTTGTTGTTGTTGTTTTTTTTTTTTTTTTTTTCTCTTAGTAAGTAGGGATCAATCAAAGTTGCTGGAAATAACTTATATAATTGGTGCGTATTTTTAGAAGTTTATTAGCTAAGTGTTGTTAGTTTGCAATGGTTCCAACATTTCATCAAAAACCTGGTGGCCAAAAGCATAGATAGAGAGGTCCACATGCTTAAAGAAAAAGTTCCTTAAAAAGAATGACAGTAATGTTAAAAATGTTCTTCCAGTGAGTCTATGCAATAAAGGACTTCGTTTGATACAGTAAAAAAAAGAAAAGAAAAGACTTGCTTGCTCATGCAAAAACCCCCCATTTCAATGTTTTTAATTCGTGAATCCAGAAAAATATGTCTGAAAAACTCTGTTTTTGATTTATGGGTTTGTCTATTTTTGCTTCTTTGATCTTTGTTAACCAATATATATATATATATATATATGCGTGTATGTATGTATATCAAAATTGATAATAAGAGGGAGATTTAAAAATGTATAGTTGATCTGGTTTAAGTTCTAGCTTGCTAAAATCTCTTTTTTTTCCTTCCCTATCACCTTTAATCATCTATACTATTATACACACACAATTCACTCACTCAGGTCATCCAAATCATCCAAAAAAATCAATTCAATTTAAATTCAGAGTTATACCATCACGATAATCATCATCTAAATCCTCAACATAATAGGAGTCATCGTCTTCTACAACTGCGGGCCTATGATCCTCCTGCAAACAAAAAACGCAATTTTGTTTTACAAAAACAGGAAAAGCTAAATCAAAACATAGACAAATAGGGGAAATAAAATAAAACATTTATCATATGTTGTATGCTAGTTAAGTGGTAAAAGTCTTATTCATTTAACATAAATCTAAGGTTCAAATCCTCTCATCTATCTAATTTTTTTTTTATTTCAAATAAAAAAATAGACACGTGGCAGTATAAGAAACAAAGGCTTCAAGACACCATAAGGGGTGTTCACTTTATTATAATAGTACTAGCGGCCGGGCACACGCGATGCGTGTGCAAACTCATTTAAAATTATAATATGATTTTGATTCAATTTTTTCTAATAATATACATATAAACCATATGAATAATTATGTACAATGTAACATTTGATATTAACATATTTGATAAATAAAATATATGCACATTACAATATGTACCCGTCTTTTAAAAATTGAAATATTTACTAATCTTTACTAAAAAATTGTACAATAAAAATTCATATAAAATCTAAATTTAGTAACATAAGACCGGAGATCTTGCAAATACTGTAAAAAAAGAAAAAGAAAAATATATAAGATATATTTATCATAAGATTGGTAATAGTATACATTGATTAAAATTAAATTTTACGTTCTTACAATGAGGCATAATTATACATAAATTTGGTTTTATAATTGGCTTATTATGTATAAAGACACAGAAGGTAATTATTGTGTTAATTTTTTATAAACAAAATCTAAAAATTAAAAACTTACATATTGACATAGATTGACATCGTCACTACAAGAAAAAGCAGATTTCGTGACTAAAAATGAATTTTTCGTCGCTGAAAGTAGCAGAATTGGCGACTAAAATTCAATTAGTCTTTTGGCGACTAAAACAGTTTAGTAGCCAAATGTAGGGGTTTTAGCGACTAAAAGTCAGTTTAGTCGCCGAATGTAGGGGTTTTAGCGACTAAAAAAATTTTAGTAGCCAAAAGTGAAGGTTTTTGGCGACGAAAAAGATTTAGTAGCCAAAAGTATACGTTTTGGCGACTAAAAAATAGTTTGGTCGCCGATTATACGTGTTTTACCGACAAAAATCAATTTTGTAGCCAAAAGTGAAGCTTTTTGGCTACTAAAAAAAATTTAGTAGTTAAAAGTCAAGAATTGCCGACTAAAATGCAGTTTAGTTGCCCAAAGTAGAGGTTTTGGCGACTAAAATTTAGTTTAGTCGCCAAAAGTGGAGGTTTTTCGAATTCAGATTTAGTCGCCAAAAGTGCTATCCTATTTTTTTTAGTAAATAATTTATTTTTTACATAAAATGTATTAAATAAAAATAATTATTTTTATATATATAGTTTTGCATTAATACCGGTCAATATAGTATATAAACAATAGGCAATTTTTTTTTTCCTGAAAAATGCTTTTGGCGACTAAAGTCTGTGGTCGTCGAAAGATTGGCTATTGGCGACGAAAAGTTTAGTCGGCAAATGTATAAATAAAAAAAAAAATTCACTATTGGCGACTAAAAGTTTAGTCGCTAAATGTATAATTTCCAAAAATGGAATTGACTATTGACGACAAATTCTTTGGTCGCTGAAGACCTATATATTGCCGACTAACAGTTTTTTAGTCGCCAAAGGTATTCGCGACCATGTATTCGCGACAAAACCGGCGACTAAAATATTTAGTCGGGGAAAGTGAAAATTCGACATTTGGCGACTAAAAAAGGACTTTTGGTGACTAAAAATTTAGTCGCCAAAGGTGTGTTTTCTTGTAGTGCGTCCATATCAAATGTCACGTTCAATGATCTCTTCAAATTGTTTTGATGCAATTTTTGCCATAGATCTATGACAACATTAAACTACAAAACATAACATGGAATTGACCGAAAATGAAGTACGTAACTTTAGTTATACATACAAACCTATAAGTAGATTACCTTGTAACAATGTTGCACATATATTTGTAAGCTTTCAATTTTTGAATCATTCGTTGCCTATAAAACTATGGAAAAATATCTCACTTCCTTATAAGTTGATTGTTTGACAAATTTGTAAAATCTAAAATTAATTTGTAAATTCACAAATATGAATATATGGAGCATAGTAGTAAATTTCATAATACTTGATGCAGCTACCACATATATGTCCATATTGTCTTTGCTGCATATACTTGCTCTATCAGATATGATAGGGTTTCTGCAAAAAGATTACAATAACTATTAGCAAATGTAACATATTGAAATTATTCATATAAAATGCCGCAAACACATTATCATACCAATGTTGTCGTTGCCTTAAAAGCTCTCGCACAATTAATTTTCCCAATTGCTTTTTATCAACTTTAATAGGGACCTTCCATCCAAGACTGTAAATGGAGAACTGTTTGACCTACATTAATTTAAAAGGTATAGTCAAACTCAAAATATATGCGCATATTGTCAGATTAAATAGCCAAAATTTTACAAACATTATTTTTTGAATATAAGTGAAGCCAATACCTGATTTGTAACTTTTTCAGCTGCAACCATATTTGACTCCTCTTGATAATTCTCCTAAAGCTGAAGTAGCTTTATTTTTTCAAGTATTCCTTCAATTAATAATTATACGAAGATATATTATAAGTATATTAAATGTAGATTTAAAAAATGACATAATATAAGCTCAATAAGAACATATTTGGTGCATACCTCCTGTATCAATAATTTGGTAACAAAACGTCTTTATAGACTACATTGCGGGTATACACTCCTTTTTCATTATTAACTGAACCCTTTTTAACCAAGACTTTCGTTGTCTGATCCGACACCCCTCGAGATAAAGCAACATATAGTTGTCCATGACTAAACACGTGATCCGGAAGGTAAATTCCCACATGTGGAATTGTTTGACCTTGTGATTTATTTATCGTCAAAGCAAAACTAAGGCGAACTGGAAATTGTGTGCGAGTCATTTCAAATGGAAGTTTTAAGTTTTCCGGAGCCTTTAATGGAATGTGATGCGGGAAAACTCTCGTGCCTTTGAAATGTCCTGTTAAAATCTCTGAATCTATGAAATTATCGTTCAAAACTCGACATAGTAGCCTTGTGCCATTGCACAAACCAGAAGAAGGGTCAAGATTCCTCAAAAGCATAATTGGGGCTCCAACTTTCAAATGCAATGCATGTGGGGGCATTCCTCCTGGTGAAATGGAATTTAAAAACTCTTGTTGATACAAATTTTGGGTATCATTTTCAACTTTATCAAATGAGTGGTACACTCTTGATTCTCCCGGAAATCTCTGAATGATTTTCTCATTGAGCTTGTCGACATCTTCATTGCGAGGAGTTATTATGCCCCTACTAACCATATACTCGGCGTCAGAAGAATGGTTTCTGATATTAGGATAAATTTCTTCTAATAGTCGAACAATTGATTCTTCGCCATTCCATGATATTGCCATCGATGTTGGTATTTTGATCATTTCATCTATAATGGTAGGTTGCACACCATCTCCAATGGATAAAAGAAATTCACCAAACCGTTGGCCATTTATAGAGCGCATGTTTTGCTTTAAACGAATTATTTGAATGTGACTCCAGAAAGGTGATTTGGCTATCGATGCAGCAATAGTTTCAGCTTTTGTACCTTTAGGAGCAACAGGAAGTACTTGTCGAAAATCACCACCAAACACCATAATTTTGCCACCAAATGGATAATCAACACCAGTGATGCCTATGAGTGTTCGATTCAAAGCTTCAAAAGCATAACGATTTGTCATTGTAGCTTCATCCCAAATGATGACTGTTGCACGTCTAATCAGTTCTACCAAATCTGATTGTTTAGTAATGGAACACACGGACGAAGCCTCTGGATTTAATGGGATCTTGAATCTTGAATGGGCTGTCCTTCCACCAGGTAAAAGTGTAGCTGCAATTCCAGAAGTTGCTGTTGTAATGGCAATTCGACATTGACTTCTCACTGAGGCCAATAGTGCACGATATGAATATGTCTTTCCAGTTCCTCCTGGGCCATCCACAAAGAAGATTGCACCAGTATTTGTAGACACCCCATTTTTGACCGTCCTCAAGACTTGGACGTCACCGTTTGAACACTCGGTGATCATCCATGTTTGTGTTCGTTTGGAGTTCCCGAGGCCTCGGCTCGCGTGCCTTGCCTCAGGATCTCCGAACTCGACCGTTTAGTGTCTGGTTTTGCACCAAACACTTGTGTTTTGCCTTGGAAGGGCAGGATAAGGCTTGTGGACCATCCCCACCCATCACCGGCAGTGGCTAGAGGCCACCGGCTGGTTTTTGCTGCCACCGGCAATATATATTGCCGGCCGGCACTATTTGTTGCCGGTCAGCACTTTTTAGTGCCTGCCGGCACTTTTTTTGGCCAAGATGGCATTTTTGGCCGGCCGATTACTGTGCATCTGCTTTAACAGATATTTTAAGACAGCTGTCTTGCTTTTGCTCCCCTCCATACACGTGTATGGAGGGATCTCCCTCTTATGAAGCTTGTCTTGTAAGCTTTACAAGAAAAGAAGTGCCATATAGGGAGAGAGAGGCTCTCTTGGCTTGAGAGGTTAGGGAGTTTAGATATTTTGTGTGCATGGTTGCAGCTTCTAACAAACATTGTCGTATGCTATCATCATGCTCTAACAAACCATGATGTTCAGCTGCTTGTTTAAAAGTTGGGTACGCAATTCCATTAACCATTAACAAATGATCGAATGATTTTGGTCCTCGGATATGATTGAGTAAAATCTCTCCCCTTCTGATGGCGAAACTGTGTAAATTCTACCAATTACTCTTGGATGGTTCAATCTCAATTGCCACATCTTTGCATTGTTGCACCATCTATAATGTTGCGGGATCTCTCGATATAAGTACCGATTTGCAGTTTCATCATCAACATTTAATTGAAAGAATTGGGTAAGCATTGTTCTGGAATAATACTCATCGCCTAAAACATTTGTGATGTCTTGGAACGTATAAAACCTCACTTGCTGCTTATTTGGTAAGTGTATTTGGAGGCGTTCTACGTTAGGAGTCATTTTGGTCATTGGGAATTTGAATATTTTCCACAATGTTTCTGGAGCACAAACCCATCTTCCATCTATGAACTGTTGTACTTCATCATAATTAGGACCTTGACGAACTTCTAGTGCAACACGGCCAGGGCCTTTATAAACATATTTGTATAAATACTTCACACTTGTAACACTACTGCAAATTTCAAGATTGATATGACAATCATATTTCAAGAGCAACCATGGGTTGTACGAAATAACCCAACTATTATCCACCAAGACGCTTGGGTTACTCTCCAAAGGAACTGACTCCCCTTCTCTTCTTCGATAAATAGGATATGAATCGTTTCCAAGTGTAGTAATGGAAGAAAATGGCTTTGGGAAACGTCTTTTGCACCGGCCATTTGTCATACACGGAGACCGTTCATTGTACATTCCACATGGGCCATGTATCATGTGTTTGAGAACTACACTGTATAATCTAGGCTCTAATCTCTTGTCTGGAATTTCAGCTCTGACAATGTTATCATAATCGTCAGGAGTGCGTAACTTATCATTTTCATCCAAAATAATGACCATGTGGGCATGTAGTAAGCCTCTTTTTTGGTACTCAATAACATATGCATATGCTAGAACCTTCTCGAGTACATGTTTTATAAGAATGTCAGTCTTCATCTCATCAAATTTCGAATGAAATATTCTTGTTAGCAAATCAGGACGATCATGCGGTGACTGTCTAGGTAGCAACTCAGCTTTAATTTCAGGCCAATTTGGATTGCAGGTCATTGTAAGGAAAAGATCAGGTTTTCCATACTTTTGGACCAGAGCCATTGCATCTTGATATCTCTGATACATGTCTCGTGGGCTACCAACAAATGACGATGGTAATATTGTTCTACGACCAACATTACCTAAACAAATATTTCACAAAAGAGAAATATAGTTATATATATGTATGAATATAAACAAACATGCGCACATGTAATTGTAATATCATATGTGACAATTTGTACCTCCATAATTTTCACCAGCATGTACTGCAGCTAGAAGACTTTGATAAAAATCTGCTCAAATGTGATTCTGATGAGTACGTATCCATCTTAATTTGTTGGACTCAATCTTCATGTAATTATCTACAGCATACTACTGTAAAAGGTGACCTCCTCGAAGAAAAAGAGATTGATCACCAGGGCGAATCTGAATTGACAGTATTTGAATACTTATAAATAATTAAAAGTAAAGAATTTATACGAAATAATTATAGATTAAATAACTTTGACAAAGTAATTTTTTAATATTATGTATACATCGTTACTTGTAGCATATAAGAATAGAAATCACAACATGTTATTTTTCTGCCATCATTACTTCTGGTATTTGCATCCCATCCATATGAACCATAGGGTAACAACAGAGGATACTGTAATGGATCATAGTATCCGACAATATCAGAAATATTTAGGAGGTGACCACTGGTTGATTGGACAATGACATCTCTTGGTTTTAAATTTCCAGCTTCTTCGCCACCTAAAACGGTAGCAACTTCAGGAGCAGTAGGAAGGTTGTATTGGGGCCTATTATGTGGTTGCTCTTTGATTTGAAGTCTGCATTCATGTATGTCTGGACGCTGAGCCAATTGGCGAAACGTGTGTACAAATGAATTATGAGCATTTAAAATATTCTTTATCTTGTCAAGCAAATCCAAGTGCAATTCTTCATTTTCAGACATTCGATTCTCATTCTCATGATCAGTATCATAAACATATAGTTGCAAATATCTCGGTCTCTCGCTAGAATTTGGTAAGAGACTCCCAATCTTATGATATATGGCTCCTTGTGCACGAAACGTGTACACACCTAGAGTTCTTGTTGCTAAGTTTTCATCAACATGAACACCCATTGAAGTGAATGAGAAAACATGATTGTAGGCTCGAATATGTTGTCTGAAATGACGACCCTCGACTGTTTGGTCAGAGAAAATATCAATCATCTCATTTGGAGCTGTTACTAGTGGCAAAACAATTGTTCCGGTAAGAGACTCCCAATCTTATGATATATGGCTCCTTGTGCACGAAACGTGTACACACCTCGAGTTCTTGTTGCTAAGTTTTCATCAACATGAACACCCATTGAAGTGAATGAGAAAACATGATTGTAGGCTCGAATATGTTGTCTGAAATGATGACCCTCGACTGTTTGGTCAGAGAAAATATCAATCATCTCATTTGGAGCTGTTACTGGTGGCAAAACAATTGTTCCATTATTACAACACATGGTAGATGTTTCACGGTGGAACAATCTTGCGTTGCAATGTCTACATGTAGTTGGAGCAAGGAACTGCATTGTTTGGAACCTTTCACTTTCATGAAAATTTCTTGCACAATTGTGATATCTCCTATAGATAAATGATCGATTATCAGGAATGTCTTCATCACTCAAAGCATCCTGATTGTGGTCGACATGAGGGATATTTCCTATGACAATACATGTATGATGTACTGGTTTATTAGTAGCACAATAGTATTTATTTGAAAGTGTTTGAGCTGCATGTTCAATATTAAATTTAATTGTACTGCGTATCATATTTGCTTGTTCATCTTTTTTAAATTTATTGTAAAGGTTGTTTGTTTTGTAAAAGTACTTAAACTAAATAATTTATTTTTACCTTCCATCTGAACTTTGCGAGGATCATCTTGTCTGTTGCCACTTGTGCTTCCATGCTCATAAGTCGAATGAGTAGGTGCATATCGGGGTAAGTTGATACGTGAGAGTAGACTCATTCTACTTTCCCGTCTAAAAACATTAGTCGCAACCTAATTGCCTTCTTCGTGAATGGTTGGCAAAACTGTTGCTCGTGGCCTACGCCATCCTGTTCTATTTCTTCTTGGGATTGCATCGAAAAAGTTTAACATGCATCATAACAATTAAAATTATAAGTAATAAATTAATTGAATATTAATGTCAAACTTAGAAGTGTAAAAGCTTACCAAAAAATTAATGTTTATAACATTTGAATACACCTACTTGTTTGTGCATTTGTCATATTATGTACTTGATCTGGATGAGAAGTTTGTTCGAGATTTTTAGATATTTCCCTTCTTTGTCGATAATTTGTTCGTCGCCTTGCTAGTTGTTGTTCGCGTTGTTCATTAGTCAAAGCAGCCCTCCTTTGTCTAGCATAATTACGCCAACTTTCCCTTTCAATTTCTCTTTGTTGCACATTAGAGCTCGCAGTTTGTTCGCGAATCAACAATCTTCGCCTGCGCTGAGCAAGACGACGTTGCTCCAATCTTGCTGAGCGTTGTTCAGTGCTTAAGTTTTGAAGGCGTAAATGTTCGAATTCTCTTTGTGGTTGTTCAGTTTGAGCATTTGGTTCTGAAGCTGAACGTTGCCTCCTCTGTTGTAGGTATAAACAACGCCGTTCATGATTTTGTTGTTGTACATGTCTCAAATTTGATGTGTCAGGGTAATCGTGATTCATTTTTCCTAAGATTGTTAGCAAACTAACACTTACGTAGATGAAATCTGGCTATCTTTAAAATGTGCCTACATTGTATAAAATTATGTAAGAGGCAGTAATAATATATTATGAGATTGTTAACTACAACGCAACTCGTATACTCACAATATAATAAGCTTCATATTTTTATGTAAGTGTTTTCATATGTTTGTTTTTATATTTTATAAGGCATATTAATTTAAGTACTAATCTCATTTTGTGGAGAATTAAATGAAATTGCAAGTGAAAGAGATTACCTGGTAAGTACTAATAAACCACGACTGTAGAAGTTATTTGTTCTGACTATCACAAACTCATTACGTAATAAATATTAAAAAATCATATGAAATTTTGGGAGTACTGAATTATTTATTACCAAAAAAATACACTTCAAAACAAACAGATGAATAAACAAAGGGTTTTTTATTATAATAGTTACAATAAAAAAAGATTAGATATAAACGAAGGAAAATAAGAAAAAACTTTAAAAAAATCGAAAAAAAAAATTCAAAAAAAACTTGATAACACAACGAAACATTTCATTTTCTATAATTTTTTTTTTGTTTTTTTGTTTTTTTGTTTTTTGTATAGAAAGTATAATTAACAATATTATAGGGAAAAAAATATAACACAAAATAATATATGATTTACGTGTTCATATTTTGGTTTCTCAAGGTTCAAGCATAAATCCAACACTCATGTAGAATACTTACGCTCAAAATAGATAACTGTAGACACCTTGCTTGGAAGTATACAACAATCAACTATCACTTTAGAGACCTACAACTTTATTTGAATTTTGGCCATCCGTGGATGTGTTAACATTTCATGAGATTTGGCCAAACTTTGTATAATTTTAACTAAAAAATTATACAACAAATATTCATATAAATAAATTAAAATAAAAAATTAGATATAAATAAAACTAAAAATAAAAATAGAATTAAAAAAATTACATATTTTATTTTTTCAAGCATATATATAAAAATAAAAATAAATTACATATTTGATTTTTTCAAGCATAGAAAAAGAAATTATATATTTGAAGCATTACAAACTGAAGCAATACAATACTTACAGTCAGAGCAATTAGGTGTCAATAGAGAATAATCCGAAAAGTTTCTTCTGAACAACAGAAAGTTATAAAGCAACCTGCCAAAAATATAAACGAAGGAAAATAATAGTCAGTTTTTCTCTCCAACAAATCGATTAACTTACTTTTTTTTCTTTTACTTTTTAATGAAGAAAATAAAAAGTGTAAGTAATAACGGTACACACAAAATAACAAAACAGGGACCCATATTCTTGGAGCACTTGCAATAAAAAATAAATAATAAACCAAAAAAAAAAAAGGACTAGTATTTTTTTAAAAAAATTTTTGAAATAAAACAATTTTTATGAACATTGAATTGTTGTTGAGAAAAACACACACACAAAATTAAGCAATCAAACAACCTAATTTTTTGAAAACATAAATTGTAAACACACAAACACAAATGTTGATATCAAAATTGAGACCCCTCTCTGCAACCATATTTGACCCCTCTTGGTAACATGAGACCGGAGAATATACTCCATATTGTCATAAAATCTAAATTGATAACCACTTGCATAAAATCTCCAGTCTCATGTTGCCAAAATTTTTTCATGTTCACCCCCTTCTCTATGTACTATAAAATCTTCCCTTTTATTTGTTCAATGATTTTTTTTCTTTTTTGTTAGGAGAAATACTATTGAAGAACATTGCAATCTTATAATTCTCTTTATCCGAAATATGTATCTACTGCTTATCCTACATTGTAAGTGTAGTATTGTTCATTATATTTTTATTTTCTTCAATAAAAAGTTTCATTATGTAATTAGGTTCTGTGGAGAAAAAAATATATTGATTGAGAACACTATTATTGTTTTTTTTTTCTTCATTAAAAAGTTTCATTGTGTGTGTTTTTCGGAAAAAAAAAAATAAAAAAATCAGTGCTCATAATTTTGTGTGTCTGTTTTTGAGAAAATCGATATTTTCAGTATTTTCATTAAATTAATTTTTAGGTTCTTAATATTTATATATGTTTTTAGTTAAACAGTTTGACACCTACGTGCAATTTTTAAAAGGGTTAAATAGTTTTGGATTTTTTCCTCTTTCACTTTTTAAGCTATTGTTTGTTTTTGTATATAAATTTTGTTTTTTTAAAATTTGATTTGTTTGTTTGTTTACTTGTGTGAGAAGAGTATTGTGTATTTTTTTTCTTCATTAAAAAGTTTCATTGTGTGTGTGTTTTGAAAAGAAAAGAAAAAAATGCAGTGTTCTTAATTTTGTGTGTGTATTTTTGGAAAAAAAAAATTACGTGTTCACTGTATTTCCATTAAATTAATTTTCAGGTTCTTAATTCATATTTATGCAGGCTTCTTTGAATAATTTGGCACCATGACGTAGTGTAAAAGAGACCCAGTAATGAAAGAAACACAAATATAAACTCAACCCAGACAACCCAAATTCACATACATTATTTAGGATATATAGTTGATAGCTATTCAGAGATCAACAAATCATTAAAAGCACATACGAAAAAACAAACATTTGAAAAAAGAGCACTGATAAAACCAAAAAAAAACACAGTTAATTAAAATTAGAAAATTTAAAAGAGGTGGTGGAGCTTCTTTCCTCGTACACTTCAAAACAAACATATGAAAAAACAAAGGTTTTTTTTTTAGAATAGTTACAAATATGATAAGGGACTTTACTGCCATGTCTTCTCCATTATCTCTTGTGTGAAAATAAAGAAAATGGCAGAAAGAAAGGAAGGGGTGGTGATTGAAAAAGAAAAGAAAAAATGGTTGTTGTGCCAATTAATTGGGTGGAGGAATGAAGACCCCACAACAGACGAACGAACCCAGAAACTGTTTTACTTCAATTGAACAGTGTTTGCATGGAAGAAGCCACAGGGTGTGAATCAAAGATACACAAAAGCAGTTGATAAATCACATGGGGATATCCACCCATGAATATATGATAATTGAAAGTGAGAGAGGTTTGAGAAGAAAAGAAAATTACATTTCTCTTGGTTCATATAACCTGCTTGGACTAGCAAAAGATGAGAGAAATGGAATAAATTGGGGAAAAAATTGAAAGAAACTCATTTATCTTATAACTTTTATTTTGAATCTCTCCAAAAGTGAATAAATTGGGAAAGGAAAATAAAAAATCAACAGAACAACTATTTTTTCATTTTTTCATAATATCAAAATTGCCCCTTTAAATATAGATAGAAGAAATAAAAAACAAACACCTAAAAATGTTATTTTGATACTATAAACCAAATAAGATAGGCTAGAAATCTTTCTCTTCTATTTCATTTCTATTTATCCAAACAAAAGGCCAAAGAGAGAGAAAACATAAACTTTTCTTTTACACTCACATACAAAGTGTAAAACAGAGTAGAAACCATCAGAGCTAAATCTAGGAATCAACGACTATGTCTAAAAATATAGATAGAAGAAATAAAAAACAAATACCTAAAAATGTTATTTTGATAATATAAACCAAATAAAATAGGCGAGAAATCTTTCTCTTCTATTTCATTTCTATTTATCCAAACAAAAGGCCAAAGAGAGAGAAAACATAAACTTTTCTTTTACACTCACATACAAAGTGTAAAACAGAGTAGAAACCAGCAAAGTAGAAACCAACAAAAAAGAGCATAGTTTTTGGATATAGAAATGCTTACCAAATTAAAAAGGGAAGATCACATATACACTGCAACTGCAAGAAACCGTGCCTATGTATACCATCCAAAACAAAACTACATCATTCTGTTCTAGAGAGGTTGATAATGTGGGTGGTTGTTGTTGTTGTTGCGGCGGCAGTGGTGGTGGAGGTGTGCTGGCGTTGGGGAGAGGAAGCGAAGCAGAGGAACACTGCAGAGATCATGATATTCACAGAAGATGAGCAAGCTCCTTCGATATATGTTACTGTTTAAAATTGTCAAAAGAGAAGAGAAGAGAACTTACCAAGGAAGATGCAAAATGCAATTGAAGGAAGAAGGTGTAACTACTTCAGACGTGAACTTTGAGAACAGAACTTTCAGAAGACAACTTACCAAGGAAGATGCAAAATGCAATTGAAGGAAGATGGTGTAACTGCTTCAAACGTGGAGAGTGGGAAGTGGGAGGTGGAATTAGTGTTTGAATTTATCATTTTAACCCTAATTAAAATTGATTTAAGTGTAAGAAGTTAAGGTCATTAGGGAGAATTGAGAAAAGTTTTTTAGGAATGGCTTCCTGACACCAAAGTTCTTGTTCTCTTTTAATAATATAGAAAGAATAGATAGATAGATGGGTACTCATTTATCGCATAATACTCTAGACACACTTCTCCATTGAAGCTACCCCGTCTTAATTTTGTAGATCTCCAATCTCTTCAATAGTTGTGATAAATGATCTAAATAACGAAAATTTTATTATTTATTAATTTTTTTAAAAAAATTAAAACTAATTCAACGAGTATAAACTTTTAAAAATATTTTTAAAATTTATTTTTACCTGAAAATTATATATAAATAATAATCAAATTAATTTTAAAATTTTAAAATTAAAAACTGAACCAAATGATTTGCCATTTCAGACATCTCTCTCTCTCTCTCTCTCTAAACAGGCGTGCCCATTTTTGCATCCTCCGCATGGTGGTGAGGTTAGCTTGTTGTGTCAATAAGAAGAAGAGAAAAACCCTAGAAATCTTTCAACAATGGACGAAGGTATTGTTTAACTTTGCTCTTTTGTGTACAGATCATTGTTAAAGAAACCAGTAAAAAAAATCAAATTGGGGTTGTTTATTGCAAACATATATCATTACTTGCATATATGATCCTCTAGTTTTCACATTTAATTGTTTTTCTTTGGGTTTAATTTGGTCTGGTTAGATTGTGTTTCCATGTCCTGGAAAATTCCAAGTAATTTCAATGTTCGTCTCTGAATTTGGGTTTTATGTGTTGCTTTTTTGGTTGTATATTTGATAGTTTGATGCATTGGACAATTGTTTAGGGATTTGGATGCCTGTGTTGGATGGAATGGAACTGACTAATCTAATTTGGAATTTCGTTTTGTTTAACCTACAATTTGACAATATTTTATGTTTTTTGTTTGTACTGAGAAGTAAAGAGAATTATTCATGGCTGAAGCCTAATTGATATGTGATTGATTGGTTCACCTGCAATGGGATATTTTGGTGCTACCATATGGTGGAGCATGCAAGTATTCAAAGCAATTTTAGGTTTTGAAATTGATTCATTCAGGGCTTGTGATTTTTTATTTATTTTTTTGTGGAATAAGTGCATATGTTCTGTTGAATGTGAATGTGAAAACGTTTCCTCATTTGTTTGTGGTTGTCAAGCCCTCTACACTTGGGTCATTACAGTATTATTTCTTTGAAAGCGGAAGAACCTAACTTTGACGGAGATAGGAGCTCTAAACAGAAGTATGGAACATGGTTAGTTAAATGAAAATAATGAAAATAATAAGCTAAATGAGGTCTGTTTGAGTTTGATCTTCCATGTATATCTGAAATACATAATTGGAAGATAGTCTATCACCGTGCTTGCAAAGTATGAGATGGTTAGGTGGGTAAACATTATTTTTTTCAACCATACATTATTTTTTTCAACCATTTATTATTCTAGGTATATAATGTAGGAATGAGGAAATATTGATATTTTTTTACTTACAATTTGAAAATAATGAAATGAATGTGATAGATTGGTGCTACCTATAATTAGGTATTCAGTTGTGTATTAAGTTGTACTTTACTTTTAGGAACTCATCATGTTTTCTGTTCAGGAAGCCCTTGACGGCTAAGATTTTTCCTCTAATCTTTAAGTTGTTCTATCATGAGGATGCTGTCTAGTATTGGAGCAGATATCAAGATTTTGGCATTGGAGGATGGACCTCAGATATCATTATTCTGTTTGTGTGAGCAAAAAATAGAAGTGTTATTTATCTTCTTGTTGATGAGCTTCTCTATTTCAAAACAAGTGGAATAGAAGGGACTCAAGGGGAATGTGCCAGAGGATGAGTTGCAGTGGCTTTTCTTCTCCATATTACTGCATTACCCTATTGCTAAAATTGTTACATTATTGTAGTCCTCCAAAGTGGTTATGTCTATCATTAACGTTGACAATCATTGATGGTGTTCTTTTTCTTTTCTTTTTTTTATGATGGCCCTACTACTGTTGTTGCTCAAATGGCCTTGTTAGAATTTTTGATATTTATGTATGAGATTAGATTCTTTAAAAATATAGCTACATCTGTTTAATTGTGATGATAGCTGTTGGTTCTGGAACTAGTTTATTTTTTGAATCCTTTCATTAATGCTTTCATGTGAAGCACATTATGCATTCTGATGACAATAAAGCTCTTCTAGAGATACAAGAAATGAAGTCTTGGATATACTTAATACATATTTGGCATATAGTTCAGCTGCTGTTTGTTTACTTTGCAGCTGATGATATTAGAATAATTTCTCAATATATTTATATTTATGGCTGCCATAGGCATTGTTTTTTACACTAACCATTGCATGTGTCGTGTTATTAATATTTTAGAGTCATGTGAAGTGCATTCAGAAGACAATAAAGCTCTTCCAGAGAAAAACAAGAAAAGAAGGCTCAAGACACCATTCCAGGTTGAGGCTTTAGAGAAGTTTTATAGTGGTATGGATGCTCTTCTTGCCATTTCTTATCTTGCAGTGTACAGCCAAATTATTGTGTTCTCATCATAAAAGACTAAAGGAAAATATTCTTTCTTTTCCCAGTACACAAATATCCATCAGAGGAAATGAAATTTCAACTTGCAGAGTCAATAGAATTGACAGAAAAGCAAGTTTCTGGATGGTTTTGCCACAGAAGGTTGAAGGACAAGAAATCAATATATGTTGAAGCATCTGCAAATGGAAAACAAGAACGTTCAAGTGGTATTGTACAGGACCGCGGCAGTGGACTTAGGCAGGATTCGTGTGGCAGCACCAAACAAGGGGATAACAGGCATGTTGATCCTAGGGAGGTAGAAAGTAGAAGGTGTAGTGGCCAAGATCTTTCAGCTGCTGACCTTGCATATGAGCATGGGCGTTGTCATAATGGAAATTACAGTGATGTGGATGATACATCTTCAGAAAGTAGCTTGCCTTTACAGCATAGGTTTCATCCTCAAAACGAGGTTCCTTTTGATATTGCAACTTCAAGTTGCCTACCACAGAATGAAAACATTGCACCGCTAAATTCGATGGGCATAAGAACCAGGACTGGGCCATCAGGATATTTAAAAGTGAAGGGTCAGGTTGAAAATGCTGCTATTACCGCTGTTAAGAGGCAACTGGGGAGGCATTATCGGGAGGATGGCCCACCACTTGGTGTTGAATTTGACCCACTTCCCCCTGGTGCATTTGAGTCTTCAATCAAGGAACCAGACAATGGTAAGTCAGTATTGTGTCCATCCTAATGTTAAAAAAAAAAAAAGGACAAAAAACTGTAAATAGAACTGTCTTCTTTTTGTATGTTAAGCCATGATTATGAGCTTTTTTTAATTTTCCTTGGATTTTTCTGGTAAATTTTGTCTAGAGGTTTGCTCGTTAAACCCAAATCAAGGAGCTGCCATTTAGATTGTACTTAATTTTTTTTATGTTTCTTGGCATATCACAGAAAGTGAATATGACTAATAAACAAGCTGAGCTGAATAAAACGTGCCAGATGGTGGGCTTGCCGTAGGGAATATGAACCGTGAAGAGTTGGTTCTTGAAAAACTTTGTTTGGACGTCTCCCTCCCTCCCTCTCTCTTTCTTTCTTCTTCTTCTTCTTCCTTTTTTTTTTTTTTTGGTATAAATCTGTTGAGAGTGGTTGTGTTTGTATTTGTATTTTGTGATGTGGCTATTCTATTGTTTGATAAGGTGCACTTGTGTGTAACATAAGGAAAAAAAATCTGTTACGGGTTTTTGAAAGAAGGAAATAATTAGACAACTCTACAACTATTAATGAAATCCAGGGGAGTCAGTTGTTATCTTTGAGTTTTTAGCATCCGTTTCTATTTTTAGGTACAATTTTCATGTGGATGTGTTGTACTTGCTTCCTTGTAGCAATTCATTTATAATTTTAGGTGCAACTTTGTGTGGATGTATTAGACGTTGAAGGCACTTAAATTCTGGAATCAATTCTTCTTATTTTTCTGATGACCAATTTAAGAAAAACATAAAACCTTCCTATGTTTGTATGCAATTTTGTGAACTTTCCATAATGTTTTCCTGATTACAGGAGATGAATGAGTAATGATTTGGTTTCTAAATATGTTCCAATTGTGTTTGACTACTCATATCATTTTGGGTTCATATTTTTAAGTTAGTGCGAACTATAATTTATATTTGAACACTATGCTTTCTATTTGATTCTTTCTGTCCAATTTTATTTGCGTCTCATTCAATGTATTTTGCAACCATTGCTTGTTATCTATTCTGATTTACAATTTGTTATGACTAATAACAGATTTACAGTGTCTAGTAGATGAATTACAATTTTTTTACAAGATTATACACTCCCTTTTGTTGAAATAGTGGAGTTGCTTCTTTCCATTTCTTGCCTATGCTAACCTTCTCTGAATGTATATATGTTCTCGTCCTACTACAAGTTTTTATGTTTTCTAGACTTCACGCATTAGTTTTGGTTGTCTTAGCTTTTTTCTTCTGAACTCCTTCGCAGAACCATACTACCTTGGTGATCCAAATCTGCTCCACTCACCAGATGTTCCTAGGGCCCACAACCAACCTAATTCTGGCACGGTAAGCTGATTTTATATTGATTTCTTTTTTTTGTAAGAAATACTCAGCGTCAGTTCAAAACTTCCTATTTCCAACGATTTGTTTAATCAAATTTGCATTAAGCCAACCCTAAAGGCCTATCCCGTGTTTCTCTTTTCTTTTTCTTTTTTGAACATATTGGATTGATGTTTCTAAACATAGTTTTGGGCCTGGGTTTTGGATAGGGCTACCAATCAGACCTGACCCTGTGCTGCTGCATACTTGTGTGCATGGGTTCATGTCCACGTGAGTGTGTTTTCACAACTACAATTGGTTTATTTTCTTAATGCCATTGTTACAACTTAATTTTACATTGTAACATGATTTTATATTACATGTTATATATGGTTTTCTTCCCTGATAATGCTAGCCACTGTACTCTTTCCCTGGGCTTGGCCTTTCAATCTTCATTTTTTGTTTACTCCATTTCAGATTTGATTCGTTATATATTCTTGTTCCCTTTTTCATGCCATCACAGAGATACGAAGTATACAATTGCAAGATGAGCTCGCACAACTCAGGTTTGGATGGAACTAGCTTCAAACTTATGCATGGGTCTGATTACGATGAAAGTTGTTTCGGCCACCAATCTAAGCCAAAGCCTCTTTTACCTAATCATGATAATCCTTTTCCTAGCCGAAACTCATCATTAGGAGTGGATGAAAGTTCTGCTCGAGAAATGCCAGTCCATGATGGTACCAGGATGTATAAGATGAGATCTAAGCATGATGTTGTAGGAAGGAGAATGGATTCTCTTTCTGGCCATAATCCGCATCCCTACGGCCGGAAAATTGCTGGTGGACAAACAGAGCCTTGGTTGTGTAACACTGATGAAGTGAGTCCTGTGGATTCCCAGAGAGAACACCTGGAATCTAAACATTCAAATATAAAATGCAAACACATTGAATCTCTTGGTATGGAGGAGAGAGGGCTTTCTGGAAGGATGGCCAAGGTCTAATCTAAAGTTTATGCCATTCTGCTAGTCTGTTTTATGATTTAAAGCTCCCATTGTTTAATTTTTATCTTTTCATACTAATGTACAGGAGGACAAATTGTATGGAGAAAGGAGAGCAATAAATGAGTATGGCAATTCGCTTAGAGTAATGGGTCATCCAACAAATGAAACGAGAGTAAGTATGTGTGCTTGGTCAGTTTGCAGTTCATACCCCACCTTGATTTTGACCCTATGTTGTTTCTTAATATATGAAGGTTGCCAAGAGAGACCCAGACGAGTTTCCAGTTCCACAACAACAGCATGCAAGGAAAACATTGATAGCAGAGATGCCAACGTGGACAAATCAGATAAAAAGGTTAGGATAAATCTCTCTCTAATTTAACTTCTGCATTTGAACTTTCAGAAAATTTCTCTCATTTCTCTAGAAGATTTGTGTGTGTGTGTGTGTGTGTGTCCATGTGAATCACTGTTCCCTTCATGAACTTTACAAAACTAAGCCAATTTTTATATTAAAAATTTTAATAGACCATTTCTTTGATTGTTGATTCAGGTTATAAACCTGATTATGAATTGTCTGTTTATGTATTATGTATCATAATAATTAGTAATCTGGATAAAGTTGCATTCGTGGCACAACTACCTAGCCCTTAGCAGCAGTTTGTTGTGGACCTCTGGGGGGTTGTCCTATCAGTTAAGTGATTTGTGTCATCCAACAACCAATGTGTTTTTCACCTGGGGATTTTTTTGGGCTGTGTGCTGTGTAACTGGGGTCTAACAGCTGTTAACCAATATTTATAATTACGATTGTGACGTGGGCTTGAAATAACTGTGTCGTGCCTAGTGTTTAATCTTTTACTCAGTTGGTCCTAAGCCTAGATAAGGATTAGGGCATTTAACCGAGCATATAGCCCTTGACAAAGCAGAATGGTGAAAAATTATTCATGTGACTGATCTCACTTAATTGGAACATAATGTAACGTTTGGTTTGGTTTGGTTTATGTGGGTTTGAAATATTTTCGTGTATATTTGCATTATATCATCCGAGTAAAACATGAATGATACTTTCACGGTCTTGTGAAATGTTTGATTTTATAACAACTTTGCAGGATTAGAAATGGGTATCATCAACACAATATCAGTTTTCATGTAATGCAAATGTACTAGGCTTTCATATGATCATTTTGTGATTCCATTTTTTTCACTATAAACCGGACCGAGCATAACTATTTGCATGCTGACATTATCTGGTACATTGATTAGATCTGCAGCGGAGATGCCATCTAGTTTCAGCGAGGACGAAACTGCAGAAACGAGCTCTTCACTTGATTGAGAAATCAGCTGTGGATTTGTAGACAGATTGAAAAGGAGTGTCTTGAAATCATCCATGTCCAAGGGAGAGAACGAATAACTGATATGTCTATGAAGATTTCCTTTGGTTGTACAGTTTGAAACATTGTGTTTTGCATTTAAACAAGAGGAAGCACTGATAGGAACACTGTAAGTAGCAGCAAAAAAATGTTTTTTTAGTTGTTTCGACTTATGTCTGTTCCCTTCAGTGTTTTTACATGTTTATATATCTTTCATACATAGTTTTTTCTTTATAATCTAGTTAATGGGGAAAAAAAAAATTGACAATGCTTTTGAAGTTCAGTTATAGATCTCAACTGTATGGTTTTTTTCAATGCTGGTTACACCAAAATAATGGGAAATAGATATGAAATAAATTAGTAGTATCCAATGTCATCCAAAAATTTTTTGTTGGGATTACACAAATCCTGAAATAGATACAACCTTTCGTAGCAACTACCATGGCTTTTATGTTTCAGGGTTTGAATTGAGCGCATTTAAAGTAAATTAATTACCTACAGGTGTAAGTACAGTTGAGTAGAATTTTTAAGTTGTGTTTGGATCTTGGATTTGTAAAGAAAAAATTAATGTGACGGAAAAGAGAAATAAAGTAAAAAGTTAATTCTCTTTTTGTCTCTCTATTTTCCTCGACAACTCTTTATCTTTTTTTTTTCTTTTTCTTTTTTTAATTTTAAATCTTTAATATGATAATCTAAAAGCACTCGACCTTTTCTGAAAAAAAAGAATAAAAAAATCTTATAGTATCCATAGTGTTCTCTATCAACATGGCATGTGCATAATCAGAAATGGTACTCAATACCTCACATAAATAACTAAATTCCGCCAAGGACCATATTTTTATTCTAGTCCATGTTTCAAGACCAAAAAATAAAAATAAAAATAAAAAATCACGAGATGACGCAATATGAGGGTTGTCACTCCAATATTCGCATGCATTACATGTGGTTTTTTTTTTTTTTTTGGGTTAAGGGAGAGGAAGAGGGATGGGATTCTTTAGATTTGATGAGTATGACATGACTCAAAGATTAAGAGCTTTTGTTATTGCACCAATCGTGTTTGATTGTATGCATTGCATTTACAATGAATCTCATATAGGGTATGCTTCTGATTCGTTTGATTGCAATTTAAGTCATCAAATAATGACACTTTTTTATTTTATTTTATGTTTTAACAAATGACAAAATGATTTTTTGATTTGTTGAGTTTAAAAAATCAGATAAATTGGCTTATAACATGAACCAAAACTGGTGCCAAATGAAGCATTTAGTTTGTTTGTGGGTTTTGAGGCATTTTGTGGGGTGTAATAGTTTGGGCTAGGAGGGCTTGACCATATTTCTTGTGGTGGTGGTTAGTGATAAGCTCAGGAACCTACCAGGGGATATGTAAAAGGCTAAAGAAAGTAGGACCATTTTGATCAAGAAAAAGAAAGGGACCAGTACTCTTGACTTGTTTGGCATTTAACTTTTTTATTAAAAGTGCATGTCACCATCAAAAGGTTGGAAAGAGGACTGAGTGTTCTTGTCAAGGACATTATGGACCACTTAAAAGATGTTTAACCTTTCATTCATTGGGCACTTGGTTTTCAATGTTTCTGTATCAAGGGTTTGGAGGTGTTTACTTACAAAAGTGCATACAATTTGGGAGGTTATTATTATTATTATTATCTAAAAAAAGTCTTAAGCACATAAAACAAATCATATAGAATATAAGAGAAATGTTACAGAGTTACAATTTAAATTTTACAATTTATTCACAATAATATAATAAAAGAGTTAGATCTTACATAATTAAATTGATTAGCATGCAATGCCATTATGAAACTGAGTCTATCTTTTTTCAAAAAGATAAACGGAGCAGTCCGAGACATTCTATTTGAACCCAAAAAATATCTTAGTACGCCCAATTTAGATTTATAAATTTTAATTCTTATTATATTCTAATGTGAATTTACTAATAAGGATAATCTATATTAAACCCTAAAATAAAATATTTTTTTTTCTCATTGTACACCCTAATCTATTATTCCAATTCAAATCTCTACATCTTCTTCCCCAGGAGATCAAAATTAGTTTGTCTTTTTCTTCTTTCGCACTCCAAAACTCCAATCCACCTTACCAAAACTCACCATTATTATTAACATCATTATTTTTTATTATTTTGAAATCATAAACCGTAGAAGAAAGTTTGAACAATCAAACAATGGAAGAAAATGATAATCAAGATAATATTTTGAAGCAATCCATCAAAGAGAAGGTAAGCATTCATATAAAAATCAAAATATTTTCTTGATTATCACTTTCCTCCATTGTTTGATTGTTCAAACTTTTGTTTAGGGTTTGGGGTTTTAAAATAATAAAAAAAACAATGATATTAATGATAATGGTGAGTTTCGGTAAGGTGGATTGAAGTTTTAGAGTGAGAAAGAAGAAGAAGAAGAAGAAGAAGAAGACAAATCAACTTTGATCTATTGGGGAATAAGATGTAGAGATTTGAATAGAAATAATAGATTAGGGTGTACCACGAGGAAAAAAGAAATTATTTTAGGGTTTAATATGAATTATCCTTATTAATAAATTCATATTAATATATAATAAAAATTAAAATTTATAAATTTAAATTAGACGTACTAACATATTTTTTAGGTTCAAATAGAATGCCCCAACAATCTCTTACATTTGCTCAATGCTTACAATCTGCTCATGCTAAATTTTCATATGAGTTTGTCGTACTTTTATATTCAACGAGTGGCCCATTAGTTTTGTTACCAAACTACTTATATATTTTTTTAATTAATCAAGTTTAGTTTAATTGGCCAAAAATCCAGCATTTCATTAAGGGCATGTTTATTTGAATGGATTGGATAAGGCAAGATTTTAATTTATTGAATTGTTAATTCTAGATACATAGTCCATCGGATTATTTGGTTAGAAATGATGTGTATCCTGAGAGGGTAATTTATGATCTGGGGTTGGGCCGGTTTAGTTTAATTGGCCAAAAATCCAGCATTTCATTAAGGGCATGTTTATTTGAATGGATTGGATAAGGCAAGATTTTAATTTATTGAATTGTTAATTCTAGATACATAGTCCATCGGATTATTTGGTTAGAAATGATGTGTATCCCATATTTTGTTTTCTTATAAAATTAGATGTCTGAAAATGACTGTCTTAATGAATCGAATGTTTGGTTAAAATATTATGAGTAATTCTATTTATACACCACTAATATTCTCAGTACACACCAGTACACATAAAATAATTTTTAGGATTTAAAAATATCTTAGTTCACACATTAACTTTCCATTGCTAATCCTATATTAACATACCACTAACTATTTGAATACACATTATTATACACACCAAAAACTTTTCATCTTCATCACTATACACAATAAAAACACCCACAATCTTTATAATAGAGACCAATAGAGACCATTTTCGTCGGTTTTGATCTCCATCGCCGGCGAAGGTTTTATTCAGCCTCTATCTTTGTTGGTGTTGAACTTTCATCGTGTTTCATCTCGTCACCTTGTCATTTTAGATCACCAGCAGAGCGTTTTATTTGGCCTCCATCTTCACTGTTGATCTTCAATGTCGGTCTTGAACTCTCGTCTCTCGTTGTCGTTTCAAATTCATCAAATTAGTCATGTCATAAATATAGAGTATAACAAACTTAATGTGTTTAAAAATTTATATCTGAACAATGAATAAAAGCTTAATTTATTTTAATCAAACTAACTTAAAATGTTCAATTTTTTTATGTATGAACATTTAATATTTGTTCAATATTAACAATTTGAACAAAATTGTTTTGTTCAAACATAAATTATAGAATATTGTGTAAAAGTTCAACTCTAGTTATTCGAACACGATGAACAAACTCATCTTTCCAACATACGAACGAGATAAATAAAAAACTAAAAAAACTAAGTCATAAACTAACATTTTTAATATTCAAATCAAAATCAACAATCTCAGTGTCATTCATAATTTGCAAATCTTCAAAACTAATTGATTTTAATATTCTTAAATCCTAAATTTTCAAAAATAATAATGTTTTTGAGTTTAAAAAATGAGTATAATGAAAAAGAAAATGAAGTGAGTTAATTAATAATGAATGATATCATAAATGTATGTTAATGGTGAAGATGATGAAGAAATACAATGTTTACATGTTAAAACTCTAAACCTGATAGGAATGGTGGTGTGTGAAGAGTATTTTGTGTTTTTAAATATGAAATTTTTGAATGTGTAGAATACAATTCATGTTGTCCTTAATGTTCATTTCATTATAGGATATTATTGGAATATAAATTTAATCTAGAGTGGTGTTATTAGCACCCTATTTATTATTTTGACCCCTACCTATAAATTTTGAAATCCTTTAAATTTCTTTTCTTCCCACAAATAATACCAAAATTATCCTTGTGAAAATATTCCACCCATTCAATTGAACGCACACCCCCCACACCCCAAAAAACTTCTCTTCCAAAAACCCTAACAAAACCCACAAAAAAGAAGAAAAAGAAGAAGAAGAAGAAGAAGAGCCAAGTGTGATTACTGTCTCTGCTCTCTCTCTCTGCTGCTTCATTTTTTTTTTCCCGGTGATTAATGTTCGGTTACTGGTTCCCGAACAAATAATAAATGTTCGATTACCGGTTCCTGAACAAATAAACAATGTTCGAACCTGTGTTCCCGAATTTTGGTCATATGTTCGGGAGTTCAGTCCCGAAAAAATGACGAACATATTTTATTATTTTTTGCCATTTCTTTTAAGAAACTTACCATTACAAGACTAATCTCCTTTTTGCTAAGAACACCATCAAAACTATGAACTTCCTCTGAACTTTTATTGTTGTACTCCTCTCGTCTTATAGAGTTGTGCCTGTCGAAAAAACTTCCACTCATTATCATTGTTGGAGAAGTGTAGGTAATCAAATAGTTGTTACCGTTATTGCCGGAATATTGCTGCCAAAGAGTTTTCAAAGTTTTGAGGGTGGGTAAGTTTTAAAGGTGAGATTTGGGAAAGATGGATGGGTGGTGATGAAGGTGGGTGCTCTCATAAACCCTAATTCATGAAATAGTGGTATGTGGGTTTAATTGTGAGATGGGGTGTCCCAAAATTAATAGGGGATTTTTTTTTAAGATCCCTGGTATTAAGATTTTATAGCATAAATGATACTCAATATTTTCATAATGTCTAAGGTCCCTCAACATCGATCCAGAGAAAATTCGATCCAGTGAAAATTTGATCCAGAGAATTTATTTGGACAAATTACAGAGAAAATTTTAAATTTCTCTAGACAACAATGAGGACTAGTGCTTTGCTTCAGAGAAAATTGGGTTGGTCCAAAGAAATTTTCTGGTTTGGACTGAATTTTCTCTAGTTTGGTTCAGAGAAATTCTCTGGTTTAGATTGAATTTTCTCTGCATTGTTTTGAGGGACCTTAGACATTCTCTCATTGGCATTTCATTAAACATCTTCTTTGCTAAATTCATGTCCCCAGCTCTGTGCATATTTTGCATATTTCCAAAACAAACTTGTGCATAATTAGAATCTAGTATTTTCTTTGTGAAATATGATCATTTGTTCAAATTTGGAAAATAATATAACAAAATTATTTTGAGGGACGAAAAAGATTGAGAGATTTGGAATTATTCATAAAGTGGTAAGAAAGCCCAAACCCTAGCTGGTTCTCGCTCATCTTCGTGCTCTTCTTCTCTCATTATCGCTATTGTCTCCTCTCCTCCTCCTCCTCTTCTTCTGACAGCGCCGGGAAAGAAGGTGAGTACAGTTTTAGATACTATTGCAAAGTTTGGTTCTTTCATCTATGTTGTCTCTATTCTGGATTTGTTTGTATATTCTGTTGAAGATCATAAAGAGGGAGCGAGAGAGAGTCAAATTTTTCTGATCTGATATATAGGCGTGTGTTTAGGGACCTTAGACATCAAAAAATAATATTGTGGACCTCTTCCATTACTAAAAATGAGATAGGGACCTTAAACTAAATGTTCTTTTTAGTAATTTTATTTGAAATTATTATTGTAATAAAAAAAACTAAAAATTGAGGGGCTCAAAATAATTCACGGGATGCTAATAACAACATTCTTAATCTATTAATAGTATGTACTAAGAGTATTAGTGATGTGTATATAGGATCACCCAAAAAATTACGAGGAATGATAAATATTCAAAAGATTACTTTACCATTTTTAATTGTTTATTTGGTAATAGCAATAATAATCCCGTCTTTAAATTTTTTTTTGCTAGAACTCTTAAAAAATTAAATAAATAACACATCAATAAAAATTAAATAAATTTATTTTATTTTTTAATTAAGACTTTTAAATTTTATTTTTATTTTATTTTAAGTATAATATATAATGAAACTAAATGATTTGTCAATGTGATAGTGAAAAAAAAAATTGAATCTTTATCCCACCATTTGAAAAAAATTGAATTTTTATCCCATAAATTCGGACTGGACTGACACTAAATAATAAGGGATTTTGTGTCTGCTCAAACATGGTAAAAAAATATATAAATTTCAAGTCCACCCGTCAGGTTATATGTTAAAAAAAAATTAAAACATTCCATAATTAAATTCAATAACACATTATATTTCTTAAATAAATATATTGACATCTTTATTAATTGAAAATTTTTGTGTATAGATAGAAAGATTTTTTAAATAAATTTAATCAAACATCACCAAAATTGTGAATTTTAATAAAATTAACAAAGATAAAATCTAGATTCCAAATTTTTTAATATATTATAATAAATAAATAAATAAATAATTTAAGAACGGATTGAGTTGGGTCGGGCTGAACTGGATTGATGGTATAAATCTCAGGCCTAGGCCATTAATATTTCGGATTGAAAATATTGAGCCAACCTAACCCTATGATCTAAAATAACATTTTTAAATCTTAAAAAAATAAGACTAGACCGGACGGTTCAACAGACTAATATTCACCTAACATGCCAATATCCACCTACTAAGGGGTTAAGGGGTGCAAGACTTGCCATAGACATAACCTCTAATGAGAAAAAAATAATAATTATGTGACAATATTAATAAAAGCCTTAATTATTTGCATATAAATCTCTTGCCGGTCCTTTCTTTACAAGTTGATTTGCAAAAGTGATTTTCCACATGAGTGGTTCGTGTGATCTGATATCAGAGGTCTTTATTTGTTGCAAGAAATAGAAGTGGGTTGGCTTTTTAGTTTTTTGGCTATTTTAGTCTGGATTAAAAAATTTAATTGGGAAGAATTTTTTTGGATTTTTGGACTTTTTTTTGTGAGAGAAGAGTATAATGATTATGAGTTAGATGTAATATTTTGTTTGTTGTGACTAAAATAGTCTATTTTGTCTTTTGTGGATAAAATAGTCCAAAATCTCCTTGCCAAACGGAGCCATAGTTTCAAGAATAAGTTGTATCCAAGTAATTCATATTAAATTATTTGTTTATATGAATTTTACATCTTTTTAAAAAATTATTTATGCAATCAACTCTCCTGGCAACAGATGAGCTTTCTTGGATTTGCCAGTTGAATTTTTGGCCAATATCATCATCTCTTTGGCAATACCAAAAATAACTAACTAGTAAAACAAATGGAAAATAACAAGTATGTATGTTTATCATTGGTGAAGTAATAAACATGTGGTAAAGATGCATTTTTACCCTAATATCATTTTTTTTGGAGGGATAATACTGCATATTTTAATTATAAGACAATTTTTTATAAACTAATTTGTGGTCTCAAAACAGCTGGAACCCAGCATGGCACAAAGAGCCAATGACATTTAGACACGTGGCAGGTGAAGGGCAAGCCACATCAGCAGACAAAGATATGTAAAATTATTGTCACGGCACATCACCATTAATGCGGCCCATCACAGCATTTATTACGACAACACCTCTCCGTCGGAACAGGACCCCCTTACCCTGAACAAGGTAAGCTACAATGTAGACTTTCGGCGAAGAGGGCAGGTCGGAAGGGACAGCGAAATGATTACCAAATGATATAAGCAAACGTTGAAGACAAGAAGAAGGTTAAGCTTTCTATCTCTAATCTCTCCCTCTATACTCTACTTCTCTTCCTAACTTGCTCGTCGGAGGGTTCACTGGGGGACTATCCCGTTCCCCGTTGAACTTGCTTGCAGGTTATCCGGTAAGCTTGATCATTTGGACTTGGACTTGAGGAGCTTGGACCAGTCCAATCCATTCACTGGGACAAACTGTACTAACAATTTTGATTCTTAAGATTCACTTTTTAGAAAATTAAATTTTTTTATTTTTCATATTTTTTAGTTTTCACTGAATAATTTTTAATATTCTAAATATTTTTTTTATTTTTAGATACACTTAACTTGAATACACTTAAAATATATAATATTTGTGAATTTTTTTAATAAAATTAACTAAATATCAAAAATAAAAAAAATTAATACATTTTTTATATTCTTAAGTATTTATTAATTTTTTAAAATATTTTTTTACAAATATTTTATTTTTTAGATATATCTAATTAATGTGTATTTAAAAAAATAAAAAATTATTTAAAAATTTAAAAATATTCACTAAAATAAAAAAAATGAAAAATAAAAAATTTAATTTTCAAAAAATAAAAAATATACACACTAAATAAAATTATACCACATCATTTATTAGCCTTCGTTTGACAAGGACTTTTTTAGTTGTCTTTTTACTTTTTTGACTTTTTTAACATGAGACTTTTTTGTTCGTTTGGTATTCTTAATTGACTTTTTAGTTTTGGAATAGTGAATTTTTTTTTTGTTTTTTTGACTTTTTTTTTGTCTTATTGTGATTATTTAGTCAAAAATGATAACCAAACACCACCTTTGTATTTTAAAATTTCATTTGAAAATATATTATTTTAATAATTTTTTAATTAAAATATGAGATAAAAAATTTTTTAATTTCAAAAATATTTAAAAAGATCTAAATAAATATACTTTTAAATTTTTTATAAAAAAATATATAAAAAATATTTTTTTAATTTTTAATTTTTAAACTTAAATATTAAGCGTGGTAATTAATGTGTGCGTATAGCTTTATACATTTTAATTTCATTTTATTGAGTTCTTGGCCATGACGACGCGATTTTGCTACTTTAAGAGTCCACCCTCTCTCTTTCTCTCTCTCTCTCTCTCTCTCTCTCTTCTCTGCCCTTCTGCAACTGATTATCAGATCGACAATTTCCTGAGATTCTACATCAGTTTTTGCTGATCTCAACTCTGATAATCTGTCGCTCGAGCGCAGCGAGCCGTCAATCATCGAATTCAGTAAAGTTTCGTCTCATTCTCGATCGATTCTCTCTCCAAAAACCTAACCAAAAGATATACATTTCTCACTCTTCTTCATTACTCAACTTCCAAACACTTCACGCAGTGATTGTCAAGATTGAGAAGACAATTGCTGCAATTTTGGCACTAGAGAGTGAAGATCGTGACGCTTTATTAGATCTTCGGAGGCGAATTGGTTATTGAGTTGGTGACTTGGTGAATGGAATGGAATGGCTTGGCAGAGCTTGGTATTTAGAAAGATTTGTTTGGGAAATTGAGATTTTTTTTTGTGTTGCGGACTGACAAAGATGACTTCGGATGTTAACAGGACTGGGGGGTCGGTTGAAAGGGACATCGAGCAGGTAAATTTTTTTCAAGAATTTTTTGTCGGTGTAATTTTCAACGCCTGAGTTTTATTTATTTATTTATTATTATTATTATTTTTAATGATCAAAAACTTTCATCTGCAAGTTGGAAAACTTTTAATAGTATCAAATGCAAGTAGATTGAAAACCTCAAATGTGTATTGTATATATATACACAATTTCTTTTTAGCCTATTCATATAGGGTGTACATAATTAGCTATCAATTACTGTTTGTTTATGTTAGATGATGGTATTCTGGGTCTCTATTTATGTTTTCTTTTGCTTTTGTGAAGTTTGCATTTAAGCACTTGCATTTTTATTTTAATTAGCTACAAAGAAGGTACATATTATTAAAAAACTCAAATGTTTCTTCACCCACGCTTTATCATTGCCAAAAAAAAAAAAATGGACAAGAAGTCCACCCTAAAAGAGAAAAGGACAAGGAATCCGTGGATGTGGATGATTTGGCTGGAGCGTAATTGGTGGATTTTTTACAGGCGGATGAACCCGTGGCTCGTATGAAGAATAGGCTTTTGGTGATTTTGTATAGTTGGGTTTCTGGATAAGCGTCTCCGGATTGGTTGTCTTTTGTGGATTTTATAGATGTTCTTCATGTTTAGGGGTTGATTTTTTATTTTTCTGTTCTTTCCGTAGATTCTTCTCCTTTGTATTTGTTAGCATCGTCTTGATGCTTGTCGTTAATAATATTGACTTCTATTTATCAAACAAAAGACCACTCTCCAATTTTCATAAGCCATCTATTTACTGGCTGGTTCGTTTTTTGCATCCGGTTTTCCAGATGTTACTTGACCCAACTCAACTCATGAACTTCAAGCCAAACTACCTGTGGTTGGTTCAGTATTTGTATGTGAATTTTCACCTCTGCCCTGTCTAGCATGGTGTAGGAGAGCTTGGTATCCTAATAAATTGGGCTGGACTATTTATGGAACTGGTGGATGAAGTCACAGACAACTGAAAATGGAGTGCCCTGTCCTTATACCAATGAGAAATTTAGGCCTTGAATCTGATAATGGGATGGGAGGAAAAGATGAAAAACCATTGCTTTGTAACACACTGGAAAAAAAATGAATTGAATAAAGAAAAGATGACATTTGTAAAGTTTTTGGATAACGACAGATTTGAGGGCAGTTAAATGTAAGGTAAGATAAGTATTTGGTTGGTTAGAGAAGTATGTATCTAAGGCTGCCTCATGATCAGCTCGCAAGTCGAGCCAAGTTATTTTTTACTCTTGTCATTTTAGATGGTGTTCGGGTTTGGCTTGAGTTTGAGTTGAGCTTGACAAAGCCTGTTCAAGCTCGACTTGTCGGTGTTTGGTGAAACTCGAGATCCGATTGATTAGGCTCGATTACAACCAAATAGGTGCATGATTCGTAGAAGAAAGCACACAATTTTTGCAACCCAGGTCTAACAAGAAAAGCCTTATTACCCAATACAATAAGGAAATCTGAAAGATACGAAATAAAAACTCATACTCAGACCTGGTGTTTAATTGCAAAGTGAGAAAAAGTATTCATATGTAAGACCATATATCTGTCCTGGTATTGCCCTGCAGTCCTGCTTAGATATCCTGAGGAACATGATGTTTAATTGTAGGCATAAATAGGAATTTAAATTAGTAGTTTTTTTATTTCCTTAAAAATATCAATGTCCAGATTACTGGTACCATTAACTACTGCAAGAAGTTTCTGGTTCCTCATGCATCGAAAGGGAGATAAGAGCCAGAAAGAGACTTCCAAAGGGGTTTTCTTGTGTGATTGTACCATAACTCATAAGGAAATGTTACTTGAAGGTTAATGTCAAATTGTTAATATCGTCTGCCTGCGCATTTACTTTTGTCATCTAAATTAGTAACCATGTGCAGTCTAGAGTATTTGTTTGAAGTATTCGTCCCTATCACCTGAATAATCAGATCTTTTTAACTCTTTACCATGTTTTTACCCTACTACTGCCACTTCACCTGTAACCTAGATTACTGTTTTCATGGAGGCAAATATGCTGAATGTATTTAAATAGGTTTTTGGCTGATATTTTCAACAGGCCATTACTGCTCTTAAGAAAGGGGCATATTTGCTTAAATATGGAAGAAGAGGAAAGCCAAAGTTTTGTCCTTTCCGGCTTGCAAATGTAAGTTATTTACTTATTTATTTATTATTGTTAATGTATCTACATATCTATCTGTTCATTTATTACCCCCACCAACATAAACAATAACAACTATATCTAGAAACATTTAAGTTTGCTGCTGCTTATGCATTGTTTTTACCTGCTTTTCATGTAACAAAAGCCTGGAGTTTTTATTGTGTGAGTGTTTTTTTTTTTTTTTTAATTCCTAGAATCTGGAGTTGATATATCATTATTTATGTTCACTCTTATTATAATGACCTAAATGTTAGTTATGTCTGTTATTAAACTTTTGTTCAACTTTCAAAACTTTGTCAAAATATTGCTGTGAATGCATGCAGGATACTATGGTTGTAAACATGAGGTGACACTTGTAACATTCTGTAGCTTGTATGCTAATTAGCAATGTCCGCTATTTTACACATAAATGTTTGTGATTTTATTAACCCATCTAAATCATGACCAGAACCAAGACCACTTGTGTGGTTTTTCTTTCCTATATTTATCTTCACAGTTGGAGGCTTGCCTTGAACACTTCCAGAATGTAGACAAAAACACAGTGATATGTCTAAATTTCTGTAGCTTTTGTGTTCACCATTTTCTGTGCGTGTTAATTACAATTATTAAAGCTGTTGATGTTGGCAATGTTACCGTTCATTGTTTTTAGGATAGGAATTAATCTTCATGGTGGTTAGTGGTTGTAACTCTTGACCTACTTCTGTAGCTGTTTTCTATTTATCCTACATATTTCTTTCTTGTTGGCAAGCATATTTTGTTACAGCAAATATAGTATTCATGCAAACAAGTCATGCCTGAACCTTCTGTCCTTAAGTTTAGCTATTTTACGCCTTGTCTTATGCC